ATTTTACAAGGTTAGTTTATTGCCCCCCCCTATACTATTATTAAGGTGAGGGGGTAGGGTATTCTTATTAGGGGGGGAGTGATTATGGGCTTGGGAACCCCTAGTCACTTTATTATTTGTGGTCCCCATCTACCGCTCATGGCTGGGGACAAGGGGGGGACATTAGGTCCCCCTGTGACAGACCATCTGTCCCTACGTGTCTTTTTGCCTATTCGTTCGACTAAGTACAGTACTGCCTTATATTACCATTGTCCGTTCGACTGACAAAAGAACTACCAAACGACCGGCCATCCAAATGCGGAGTGTGGTGCTTATTAACCTCATTGACCCTCTTAACACCTCTGAAACCGCAAACACCCCAACGTTCTAAACGGTCGACTGCGTGGCCATGTCCATCTTGGAATACGAATGCGGCCAGCGGTGTTTTGTCCAGTGCATGGAACTAGAATTGGACACTCGACGACACGAACATCGCTAAGACTTCAATGATCACGGATGTTCAGCACAATATGTATGAAATGGACTATATTCGGTAATAATACCTCCCGAACCACTAGGACTATGAGAACAGACACACGAACAGTTAATTCTCTTATAAACGTTAGTTTAACACCCTGGAAGGAGACTGGCCGCTGCACAGTCTGATTCTATGGAACTATTCTGGGCAGGAGCCTCGTGTGCTGTCGGTCAGAAAGAAGACCTCCATACAAATCTCGAACCCGTGAACCGATGTGGGTGATTTTTGAATATGTTGTTCCCCATGATTGGGGCTATCAGCGGATATGCCTTTTGTGGGGATATTATGTGTTTTGGGGGGTATTTTCAGGTTGTATTAAAACTATGTACTATCTCACTGTTGAATTCGGATGCAAAAGATTTGACTAAAATGTATGCCAAAAGACTTAAACCTATCCTACTACATGTCATTTGAAATGTTCAGGGAGCTGACAACACTAGAAAGGTTTTAGACCTTCCGTATGACCTACGGGGTTAGAAGAGGGACTGCTAGTCTCACTGGATGCAGAAAAACCATTTGATAGGTTGAACTGGCAGTTCCTTGAGGAAACACTCCAAAGATTTGGGTTCCCAACATAATTTTTGGCAGCTAATAATGCTCTTTACAGATTCCCGTCAGCTCTTGAACTAGTACCTAAAAGGTTGGCCCACATATTCCTAAATGTTAGCAGTATGTCCTGGAGATGTGGATCAGGAGTGGGCACAATGTGTAACTACTCCTGTACTTACCTTGGCGGTCTGACGATCAGCTGTTGCTCTGATCCGGAGGACCACCACTTCTATGTATCCTGCTTCTCCGGTCAGCCTTCTGGACACCAGCCGCGGTATGCCCACCCCTTTTTATGACGCGCCACACATGAGCCAACGTCATGATGTCAGAGGGGCTCTACTCACTGGAACTCAATGAACACTCATGTTTTGAGGTTGTGTGGTTTAGGGTAACCATGCCCCCAAACATATTAAATCACAATCAGCCCAAGGCACAGTGCCCTGTTGTGGTTACTATTATTCTAGTGTCCCAATAGTATATACCTTGTTTTGTGTGTTGTATTTTGGTATTGACCTGGCTTTTTCTTCTCTACTCTGTTTTTCGGGTTCCCTTGACTCGGCTCTGTTTCTTGTTTTTGTGATATTCTGGCTTTACTGGACATTGGCTTGTTCTGACATTCCTATTTTCCTGTTATTTATCCTGTCTACCTTGCCACTCTAAGGACCGGTTTAGGGACCTTTTCTCTGTCTATTTATCCCTCTGGAGGATTTACATTATATGTATTGGGTATTATGCTACACAATGCTCCTCCATGACCAAATATTGAGAGGAGCTGGCAGTTCACAATAGGAGACAAAGTGGGTGTCTTTCTTTATCATTAGAAGTATTCCTGTTGTAAATTTTGCCAGAAGATCTCGTTAAACTAGACCTCAAACTTTCATACTCTAACTTCTAAAAAATGGAAGTCACCTCACATACCTTCTGTCCCAAAGGAATACATACGAACATATGGTTTTGACCAAACTTCAAAGGGGTAAAGGGTCTCGAGAAGCAGGAAACATATGGTCTGATTATATTTCAAAATGGCTGGAAAATTTAGTTTGATATAAAACATAAAAAATAAAAAAATCACAAATTTTGTGGTTGATCATATATAGTGGCATATGTTTATCCACCAGAGGAACACAAAACTTTACGTCACCAAGCAGTTATCCTGGTATGATGCACCCCACATGTCAGAGGCTTCGGTTCACACATACCACTGAGAGTCATTGATGATTAACCCACATATTATTTGTTCCTTGATGCTTCTTTGGGTTTATGTTTTCCTTGAATCCATGATTTATATTTATTTATTGCCTATCCTTTGACATTTCAACATTTTCTTATTGTAAAAGAATGGAGTGCCCATGTCTGCACTACACACTGGACTGAGACAATACGGAAAGGAACATCATTTGTCTTGAGGAAATGTGTAAATTCTCAGCCATGTGAATGTATATTGTGAATGTAAAGTATTTTTGTGTGTAGCATTAATAAGCTGTCTAATGCAGTGTAGTCACTCAACAACATAATTCTTGTTGCTCAATGCTCATGATACTTTTGAAAAATAATAAAATATAAGTTGAAAAAAGAAGGTAGCCAATTTTACAGTTGATATTTGGTAAGTTCTCTACTTGATCTCCTTCAAACATTCCATATGGATGAGTTACATTATGCTTTGGGTTCCCTTCCCTCCAATCTTTTTGCACATAAAAAAAAGAAGCTCTTTAAACCAAGGTTGCAGACCAGAAAATATCAACTTAATGATAAACGAAGGTGTAGCCCCCATATAAAATAAATATAGGTAGGAACAGGAATTTTCAACAACATTAGCAAATGTTTCTGTAAATTTGTTTAACTGTACTTCCCTGTAAACAAAGGGTTAAACTCCAAATTTGGCATAATTCCCACATTTCAGAAGTCTGCTCTTTGCACATTGTATTAAATTTAGCGGTAATTAGTTTTTAAGCTTTTTATAAGAATGCCCTGTAACGGACCGTTTTGAACACAAGGGGTAAAAACCGTTTAGGCGATCGTCCCCCTTTCCAGAGACACAGGCACAGCTACTGCAGAACACCAATCCGCCGAACAGGAAACTATATGAATGCTGTAAACAGCCGAATAGGAAAAACCATACGAATAGGTTTACACTCCTAGCAGTCAAACTGGAACAGCATACAATAAATCCCCCTAAGAACGAGACAAAGCTCCGTGTTGAGGGTCAAGCAGTGAACAGTCAGAGCTGTGGGTTTATTGTTCTTATGAACACATTCTTACACATTAGTACCACAGGGTTTTGGAACACAACCAATAAACACATACAATACACTCAGACACTCCCACACAAAATCCTCCCCTCTGCCTGTGATTCAATTACCTTACACAATGGGTAATGTAATTTAGCACAAGCAGAGAAATACAATTTTTCCACATTATTCATAACTTGAAAAGTATGCATCACATTCACATAATTTTCAGAATCAGCATACTCCAAATACAAACATACGTCAAAATCATACAAATTGGTCCAGTGGTTCAAAAGATAGATCGTAGTCCTTTGTGACCACAGGAAGCATGGCTTTTCTGCCCAAAACCAGTTCCACAGAGTCTTCTATCCTGGAGATAATTGTGAAGTAATCCAATTATCTCCAAACAGAGGCAAAACTCCATTGAACACATGGCAGCAAAAAGACAGTAAAATACAATAAAATACACAAGGTTACATTTATGACATAAAATACAGACATGCAACATATGCCCAGATAGCTTAGGTCTGAGCGCACATTATTACTGAATGGCGCTCAGAGCACACACATACAGTTCAATTGCTATGGAGCCAAAGTCTTTCCCATAGTCTTTCATTATACGAATGGGCTCCATGGCATAGCTATCTGGGGTATCACTGCTCAAACAGGGCAAGCACCAAATGACCCGGCTTTCTTGTGTTTGCAGGGGAAAATCAAGCCTTTTAACATGGGGCCATAATCCAAAGGCAACAGGCGAGCAACCAGGCTTCTCCAATGCACAGTTGCGAGATTGGTCTCGTCACATGCCCTCCTCAATAAGAAAAATTACACACCTTTTTTATTTGAATGTACTTTGGTGTCTGGGATGGCAAGCCTTTGGTGTGTTTTTTTTTAGTTCAGAATACCTAATCTGGGCACCTTTTCCCATCCTTAAACCCTGTTGTATTCCTTGTTAGGACATTTTGGATAAAATGTTACCCGTTTAGTTTTTAGATCAGTGGTGTTCACTGTTTGGTACATGATTATCCCAATAAAAATCGGTCTTATAGAGAAAACTTTGCAAACTGAGAAAGGCCCCTGATTTTCTTTAATGTTGTATTTTGCATTAAATATTCCCTTTATTATAAATTAATTTCAATCTTGAAGTTATATAGAAAAACATGATTTGCCTTCAGGCAGTTACAGAGAATATGAAGAATTTACACCTATAAACCTCTTCTTTACTTTATTTAGTTATCTTTCCCATCGTACATTCTTCTTAAAATTCTCCCTCAGAACATTATTTTCTCTAGGGCATGATTCACTCCAAGTTCCCTCTAGTGGTTGTCAGGAAGAAAGCCACCAGAAGTGTATTCGACCCTGCAATGGATATAGTGACGTTTCTACAAAACTGCAATGATCTACATTGCAGCACTAAAACTACAGGTCCACTGCACCTAGACCACTTATTTGGGATGCAGTGGTTTGGGTGACTTTAGTGGTCCTTTAACTCTTAGTTGGGAGGCATTTTTACATACAAAGAAAACCTTATAAAACCGAAGAAGGCACCTGTCTCTTTCATGTGTGTCTCCAGGTATTCTTTAATGTTGTATTTTGTATTAAATCTTTTGACCTCAGGCAGTTACAGAGAAATTGAAGCATTGACGCCTCTAAAACTATCCTTTACCTTAGTTAACTCTCCCATCATAGATTCTTCTTATAATTCTCCCACAGTACATTATTGCCTCCAGGGCATGCTTCACTCCAAGATCCCTATTTAAAGCTCCCTCTGCTGCGTTCTTGTACCCATTCTACGGACGGTTAAAGAGAGATCACAACCATCATGTCAGCAGCTACTGCTGTACTGGGTTCGCCCAATAACCCTGTGAAATATTTAGACCAGGATTATGAAGTGCTGAAGGCACAGTACTTGAAATCTGGCAAACCCTTTGAGGATGAAAAATTCCCTGCCAGCCCATCCTCTATGAAACCAGGTTTGGAATCAGCAGCACATATTGAATGGAAGCGACCTAAGGTAAAATGTTAGCTTACACTGCCTGCTAAGTCAATCCTTTCATTTACTATGTATGAAATGTGGGAGATATTTTCTATATTAAAATAACTGTATCACATAACTATATACTGGCGTAACGCATTGAAATCATGGTTGTGTAAATTGCTAATATTTTTTGAGCTGTGGAAAAATATCTCATTATGGGTCTCTTGTAATCTCTAGCAACAAAAAAAAAAAAAGTGCCCAAAAATGTCCTGTTTTAGATTTTGCATTTCATCCAATCAGCCGCAGCTCTAGACTTTGTGAGGCTTTAGGCAAAACTCAAACAAGGATGTGCTGGGTGAAGGGTGTAGTGGAGCACTAGTCCTGACAAGGACTTTTCCCTCCACTGGATCCATGAAGACAGGAACTCTGGGCCTCGCACACTTGGCATACAGGGCAAGTTGCAGGGTTCCCTCCTGGTGTTGGCCCTCAGTCATGGACCGAGTACCCGACATGTCAGTTTGCCCTAAAGAAATCTAGGCGGCCACAAGGCCCCAGTCAATGTGAAGACTTAGGCGGCCACCTAAATCACCTAATTAGAGAGCCACCTCTGTGTGGATGTGTATTTGTAACAATTAATTAGAGTAATTTACTATGTACATTACACTTTACCTGTTCTCTGTTTCTAATTCACACAATGATTTCTTATAGGAAATAAATGCTGATGCTCAGTTCATTGTAGATGGCGCTACACGTGATGACATTATTCAAGGAAGCGAAGGTAAGTAACAGTAAATCTATGAGTAGAAAGCAAGAAGCAGTGTAGCAAAGGAAATTACTGATCCAAATTGTTACGTTTACTAAAAAAACTGGAAATGAGTTTCAACAATCTGAGATCCCTTTATTTTCAAAGTGTCTATAATACTACTATCTGCCAATCTTGCAATATTTCAGCCATGTTAAAATTCACATTGAAACAATTTAAGGATATGTTTTCAGTTTGTTGTTATACAAATCTGCGATGTTTAAAGTAGTTGGACGCATCAGTAACTTAGGCAGAAATTGTAGACCAACTGAATATACAAAAAAACTAAGAATCCCAAACATAATATACCTCCGTTTTACAAATGGTGTTCAGTACAGACCTTCTGTACATTTTAAGACCCATAGGATGAATTTTCTAGGTTCCAGAGTGGAATGTAGAGCTGGTTGGTCTTGATACCCATTTTTTGCTTTTATGTTTCTAAGCTATCAGTTTTTTGTTTTTTTTCATAGTTTTATTATTATGAGAAACTTTGGCAATACCAGCTAGATGAGCATATGAGTGCTCCTGGACCAGTACGCAATATTTTGTAGTATACGGAGCATGTATCGTCTACAATTTATTGTGAATAAAATCCTTGTGCATCTTTTCACTTATTAGCTATTGTTACAAGATCTCGGATGTGTATGATACAATATTTCCTGTCCAATAAATAAGGAATTTAAAAAAAAAAGAAGTACTAGAACAGTAATACCCATACCTCCCAAGTGCCCTAGATCTGTTGGAATAATTTTGATTTTAGAGCTATGTCCTGCCAACCTGGGTTATTTCTTTAGTATCGATTCCTACCTCTCAGGAATGCCAGAGAAAATACCATACTTTATATTTGTCCAGTCGGATCAGTAATTCAGTACCTCAAATTTAAAGCCAGACTTGTACGATTTTCAGATATCTACACTGTAACTTTACTTATTATGGGGATGTATCGGAATGTAATATGAGGTTTTTCTGCATTAGCTCACAGTGAACATGTATTGCTTTTTTAAAGGAACACTGTAGTGTTAAGCATACAAACATGTATTCCTAACACTATAGTGCTGGAGGACCAATCTAGGTCCAGGTCTCCCTCAGATTGGAGATAAAAGGTGTTGAAACTCATCTTTTCTACTTCACTGCACTGATCTTGCATCCATGGCTGAGATCATGAATTTTGATGATCTCGGCCAATTCAATGCTGCACCAATCAGCATATCTTCATAAAGATGCATTGAATCAATGCATCTCTATGGGAAGCATTCAGTGTCTCCATGCAAAGCGTGGAGATGCTGTACATAGGTACTGCACACTGTGCAACACTGAAATAGGAAGCACATCTAGTGGCCATCTGAGTGACCACACCTTGCGATGTTACTAGGCAGCAATGTAAACACTGCCTTTTTTCTGATTAAAAAGCCTGCAAGGATAGGCGGTAGACACCAGATCTAATACACAAAGCTGTAGTAGTTCTGCTGACTATGGTTAAATCTTTAAATAAAAGGTTACTGGCACAAAACCTATTTTTTGGTCTTAGCCATATACTTATAAAGTGCGCATTGCAGAGAATGAAGTTCCATGAAGTTCCATCTTCCAATGACACACAGTAAAATATACTAATTGGACCCCAACTGTAGAGTGTCAAAAAAGGAAGAGCCTCCAATCCTGATTTTAAAAGAAAAAGGTACCTTTATTTCGTCATTGCCAAGAGACACACTCAATACACACTGGGGCCACTGTCTGTCTGTCTCTAGCTATCTATTTGTCTGTCTGTCTCTAGCTATTTCTATCTCTATCTCTATCTATCTATCTATTTCTATATATATTTCTGTATCTATTTCTATCAATCTATTTCTTCCTATCTCTCTCTTTCTCTCTCTCTCTCTATTTCTATCTCTCTATCTCTAGCTATTTATTTCTATCTCTCTATATCTATCTCTTCCTTTCCGTCTGTCTGTCTGTCTCTAGCTATCTATTTCTCTGTCTGTCTGTCTGTCTCTAGCTATCTATTTCTCTGTCTGTCTGTCTATCTCTAGCTATCTATTTCTATCTCTGTCTGTCTGTCTCTAGCTATATATTTCTATCTCTGTCTGTCTGTCTGTCTATCTCTAGCTATCTATTTCTATCACTGTCTGTCTGTCTCTAGCTATCTATTTCTATATATATCTCTATCTCTATCTATATCTATTTCTATATATATATATATATATATATATATCTATCTATCTATATCTATTTATTTATTTATTTAAATACTTTATTTTTGTAGTGCAGTTATTAGGTACAAGCAGGCTTGAGGTACTCCACCGGCATTCCTCGAGCTTTGTGACATATTTCACAAGTGGGGTTAAGATAGGCAGTGCACATTTTTTATATAACAGGTACATCCGAAAACATTAAGCTTTTGTTAGTGTATGTTGCATTGACATGACAGTAGTTGCTGTGTCTAAGATGCTTTCCCAACCCTGTGCCGTAGAAAGCGGAGAGGTGGAGGTGTTACGAGTGGGCCCATGGTGTGGTGTGTCAGCGTATGAAGTGACTGAGTGCGTGCTGAAGGTGTAGTGCCTGTACTCGTGTTTTGGGGGGGGTTAACATAGAGATCCCAACTGTTGCTTAGTGTCTGTAATGAAGGGTGACATATGGTTTACACGTTTTAAACAGGCTTATGTGAGTTCTAAGCAATAAAATACAATAAGTTGTATAGGCGCTTCCAATCTTAAATATAACAATAAACGTGAGTGTGAAAGAAGGTGTAATCCCTTAACACCTTAAAAACAAAGTGAAAGAATATAGATAGATTCACACACACTAAAAGATACAGTATGTAAATATTCCACCTATTGGAGATATAGGTATTGTAGTTACACCTGTAAAACAAATAAAATACACATAGTGTTTTCCATACAATAAAATACAAATAATTATAATATATGAGGAATAAACTCACAAAGATGGAGCCTCATAGGCTCTATGTACATTACCCTTGGGTGCCTATCCAGGCTCTCGATAAGCTTCTTATGAAGAACTCGAAGTCCACGAATAAAAATGTAGATACAAATTTATTAAATATACTAGTAAAAATATATACTATAGAGGGACAAAGATAGGGCAGGGATAAAAATAGAATATAACACAGTATTACACCGCAATTATGGCCAGAAATTAAAAGCAGTGAAAATACCAAAGTATATATACAATAAGAAAATACCGCCAACAGAAAAAGTCCCAGTAAAAGTCCAGTACTGGACTGCTTTTTTGCATTAGGCCACTCTGACAGGCTAGGGAAACATCTAGCTAAAACCAATTGTATATGCAGTTATTCTGGTGAGTCAGCAGTGTCCAAGTCCTGGTGGTTGTCTCCATTATTTTATCAGGGCAGGCAGGGTTTTGGTGGTAGCTTGTGGCATCCCGCCTCTGCGCGTTCTGTGCCGGCTGTCAGCCCACTACATTTCGAGGCTGGGTTGTAGAGTCCTTTGCTTCAGGGGAGACAACCAGAAAGGAGGCGGCAAAGTAGTGGTGTCGAGTGGGCTCTCGCTTCTCCGATGTGCTGGAGCGTCTTTGTGGGCTGAGAGGAGCTCCGTCGCTGATCAGCTATCTGCATGTGGTGCGGTGTGTCACCATCTTGGTGCAGGGTGCAGCATTAGGTATGTGAGACCGGTTCCCCGATGTGTCAGAGGTTCCCGCTTCCGTGCCTTGTTTTGCAGTGGGTTCTTTCGTGGTGCGGGAGCTGGCTTATTGCGTCCCCGTCTTTTCCGCTTATTGCCGCCTTGAGGTGAGCGTTGTGCTGGGATGCCTTGACGGGTGTTTACCGGTGGTCGTTGTGGCGTGTTGGTTTGCAAGCACCCGGTTGCTTTGCCGTGTATTGTGGGCGTCTGGGGACCACATTTTCTCTTGCTGGTTTTGACGCACGTGGCGTCCGCCATCTTAGGTAGGGTGCCCCGGATCAGGCTGCTGATGCTGCTGGGCCCAAGCTGCTTTGCCGCTTTCGGGGTCACAGGGTGGAGACCGGGATCACCCCCGCCGGCCCGGGGGGGGGAACAGGGCCAGGTCCTCGCCGGTCCGGTCCTCCGGCCGGGCACTGTCAGGCAGGATAGCGGGGCAGCGGTCGTCCGCCCCACTCACCGCCGAAGAAGGCCCCATCTGGAGCGACAGTTTCTCCCCCAGGGGACTGCAACTCTGGGAGTCAGCCTCTTCCTGGGTCCAGTGGTCTCAGCACATGGAGGATCGGTCCTGTCGGTCTGCTATCCCAGGGTAAATCATGCTTTAAGGGCTTATAGAGTGCGAAAGTGCAGGAGCTGAGGTTGCTTGCGACCATCCATCTATTTCTATATCTATCTTTATCTATTTATATATCTATTTATATATCTATCTATATCTATCTATATCTATTTCTATATCTATCTATCTATCTATATCTATTTCTTCCTTTCTATCTATCTATCTACCTATCTATCTATCTATCTATCTATCTCTATGTCTGTCTGTCTCTAGCTATCTATTTCTATCTCTGTCTGTCTGTCTCTAGCTACCTATTTCTATCTCTATCTCTATCTATCTATCTATCTATCTATTTCTATATTTATTTCTATATCTATTTCTTCGTTTCCGTCTGTCTGTCTGTCTGTCTAGCTCTAGCTATCTATTTCTATCTCTGTCTGTCTGTCTGTCTGTCTATCTCTAGCTATCTATTTCTGTCTGTCTGTCTGTCTCTCTACCTATCTATCTATCTATCTATCTATCTATCTATCTATTTCTATCTATCTATCTATCTATCTATCTATCTATCTATCTATCTATCTTTCTTTCTATCTAACTATCTCTATCTCTGTCTGTCTGTCTATCTATCTACCTATCTCTCTATCTCTATGTATATCTCTATGTGTATCTATCTATCTATCTATCTATCTATCTATCTATCTATCTATCTATCTATTTCTGTATATCTATCTATCTATCTATCTATCTATCTATCTATCTGTCTATCTATTTCTATATATATTTCTGTATCTATTTCTATTAATCTATATCTTACTATCTATCTTTTTCAATTGTCTGTCTGTCTGTCTGTCTGTCGCTATTTATCTATCCTGATCTATCTATCATAATCTATCTATCCTAATCTATCTATCATAATCTATATATCTAATCGATCTATCTAATCTATAGGGTCTATCTATCTATCTATCTATCTTTCTATCTATCTATCTATCTCACACTATCACACTCTCTCACGATCAGGCCCTCTGCCCCCGTGCCACTTGCGGCATCCTTGCTTACCTCATCACAGCAAGCGGCATCATCTGGTCCCTGCCTCCAGACTGGCGGTGTGTCTGACGCTGCACGCTCCAGAGCAGCTTTCTTATATGTGTGCCAAACCCGATCATGTGACCCGGCACACAGTGATGACTTCAGAGACCACAAGGGAGGGAAGAAACTCCTCCCGCGTGTTGTGGTTAACACTAATTGGAGGTTAGCCAATCAGACACACCCTGTGTGTATATAAGCTAACCTCTCCCTTGCCTCAGTGCCCTGTTGTGGTCTTTGGTTTACCATTGAGCGTTGAATTTGTTATTTGGATTTCCTGGTTACTGATAATTGGCTTTGTCTCTCGTTATTCTGTCTCTCTGTTTCCCTTGACCTCGGCTCGTGTTTTGACTATCCCTTTTTGCATAACCCGACCATTCTAAGGATTGGTATTGCAATTCTCTCTACTCTGTCCTGTCTGCATATTAGGGTTGCCTAGTGAACATTACACTCGCACCGTCTCTCACACTCTCACCCACACTCACTCTCTCACTCACCCACCCACACTCACTCACTCACCCACACTCCCACACTCTCTCACCCACATTCACTCTCTCACCCACATTCACTCTCTCACCCACACTCACTCTTTCACCCTCACTCACAAAATAAGTTTACATACGGTTTGGATCCTCCTGCTTGGTCTCTGGTCTCCTGCCCGTCAGCCTGTCAGACAGAGCCGCTCTGTGTGCAGGAGATCTTATCTCCCCACACTGTCGGCTCTGGTTACTGATAGGCTCCGAGGTTACTACAGGACACAGGATGCGCGTTCACAGTGCCTACTGTGTCCTGATAGCATGTTTGATGTATTCAGCTCAATGTTAATTACAAGACTAATGAAAACAAGTAAATATCTGTAGGCAGTAAATTGTACACTTACATTATCTTTTACAGCAAAGAAAGAGGACATGGAGGAGAATGTTATTGGCTTAAATAACCTGTTGCTGCTGGATTGGTTAACAGTGTTCTATTATGTTTGGTTGTTGTTTCTTCTGTTGTTTTAACCTAGCTCATTATTTAGCTATTTCTTTGCTGGTATAATGGAGTAGTAAAGAGAGGTAAGCATAATAGGAACCTCCTGTCTAACATAGAATCCCAAATTGTATTAGGCATTTCTTTAATAGCAGTAACAGCTCTGGGGGGTATGGAGGGGGAAGGGTGTAACAATAAAAATAAAACTTTAGCATTTCTTTTCCTGGCACTAGAGAATACTGGAGTGCCCCCCTCCCTTCTGCCCCCAATCTCATTTCGCTGAATGGGTTAAAACCCCTTTAGTCACTTACCTGAATCCAGTGCCAATGCCCTTCGGTGCTGGGTCAGGCTCTGCCAACACTCCTCTCCTGTCGACGTCCACCGGCGGAAGAAACATAATGCGCATTGAATTATTATTCAATGCTTTCCTATGGGGATTCCGGCGACGCTGGAGGTCCTTATGCATAGCGTGAGGACGTCCAGCCTCATTTAGACGACCAAGAAGAAGCCGTCTAAGAAGCCGGAAGGCCCTCTAGTGGCTGTTGGGTAGACAACCACTAGAGGAGGACTAACCCTGCAAAGTAATTATTGCCGTTCATAAAAACTGCAATAATTACACTTGCAAGGTTATGGGTGATGAGAGATGGCACCCAGACCACTTCAATGAGCTGAAGTGGTCTGGGAGCCTACAGTGTCCCTTTAATCATAAGAGAAGTGAGTGTATAACTGTATTTGACATTTGTTTATCTGTGTGTATTTGGCAACGTGGAAGTTTGAGTGAATGTCTAGCAGTGTGTGTGTTGGTGCGTTTCATGTGTCTGTCAGTATGTAACTGTCTATGTCTGGCAGAGTGTAGCTGTGTGTCTAGTAGTGTGTAACTCTGTATGTGTCTAGCAGTGTATAATTTATTTATTTTGGCAGTGTTTTTTTTTTCCAATACAGGAAACCACAATGTCATCTAGCAAATATCTAGCTGAATTGGAATTTTTTTTTTTTTTAAAAACAGAAATTTAAATAATCTTTTTTTTTTTTCAAATGTCTACTATAGCAAGAATGAATGTAGACAACCCAGATCGATCAGTATATTGTACTTACATTTTAGATCCGCTGATATTTTGTCTAGACTGCTTAACTAGCATAATGTCCTTGTCTTATAATTTATTTTAACTCTTCAAATTAAAAAATAGGTACCCTTGGTCATTCACAAAATGTACTGAAACCAAATATTTACAATGTTTTATTTATATAGGTGTTTGTTCATTCCTGAGTTCCATTGCAGTTCTTACCATGAAGAAAGAATTTCTAAACTTGGTGGTCCCATGGAACCAAAGTTTCCAGAAAGACTACTGTGGCATCTTTCACTTTAAGGTAAAGCCACCGTGGGCCCCGGAATGACTTTCTGAAAACTACACTGATGTTACATCTGATTTTTATAGCATATATTGAAATGGCCAATTATTACACAGTAAATGATGGGATAAGTGCATTTTAAGATGTTTCTTCCATGCGCATTACAGCTGAGCTCTAAGTTGGCTCCATCAAATGTGAGTGGCATTATATAGGATTACCTCAGTATTCACTTACTGGTCATACTATATTGCACCATTGTATTTCTTTGTTTTTTTTTGTCTTTGAGGTCAACTGTGTGTATAACTTCAAAAAGATTTGTGTACATTGTGAGTGAAAATGTGGAATGGTTGTTAAAGGAATATATATCAGGCCTGCTTTGCTAAACAGCAGCCAGAGAATGTTCAGTTAAATGTCCCAGGGAGAGATGTTAAGTTTGCAATATACATTGCTGATACTATGCAAAACACGGTATGGGTCTCTGGGGCAGAGTACTTGGAGAGCAGGATGGGCCAGTGCTCCAACAGCACTAGTTGCTCTGTAACAGACCGGATCTTGGATTTAACCTAACCCCTTAAGACCGCAGCCAAATGTACAAGTTGTGATCAAAACAAAACGTAAACAAAACCTGGCATTTGCGCTATATGTCTGTCCAACCGTAATTCACCTCTTTCATATTAAATGCACCCACACTTATATATATCATTTTATTCAGGGGAAACAGGGCTTTCATTTAACATCAAATATTTAGGTATGCAACATAATGTAATATGAATAAAATATAAAAAAATGGGAGAAAATAAGAGTTCTATGTTGTCACGATTCCGGAACCTAACACGCTAACAGGTCACAGAGAGGAAGGGTGCTATACCGGTCCTTAGAGTGGCCAGGCTAAGCACACTAAGAATGGTCAGGAGACAAGCCAAGTAAAGGGAGTCAGAAAACGGGAGAACGAGAAACAAGCCGAGGTCAAAGAAGTGGAGAAGACAGGATAATCGGAAAAACGAGCCAAAAAATCGGAAACCAGAGAGCAACACGAGAGAACAGCAATACAGGTATCACAAGACCACAACATGGCACTGAGGGACAGGAAAGGTAAGTATAAATACCCTTGGTTTAATTCTGATTGGATAACTTCCAATCAGAATTAACAATCACACGTGGGGGATATCTATACCTCCCACTGTGATTGTGGTACTGTTTCTTTAACGCCAGGTCACTCATGTGACCACGGCGTTTGCATAATTTAGTGACCTCCCAGCGTGCAGCGTTATACATGCTGCCGCTGTGGGGCATGGAGGACGCGAGCGGCAGAGAGGAGACGCCGGCCGCGGATCCCTGACATATGTGACATTTTAACTGTAAATGTCATAATACTGTTTGCTTTTACTGCAATAAAATACACATATTTGTATTCATTGATGTCTCATGTGTAAAACAGTACCCCCTATGTACAGGTTTTATGGTGTTTTGGGAAATTACAGGGTCAAATATAGCGTGTTACATTTTTCATTTTTTTCACATTGAAATTCGCCTTTGAGACCATATGGTAGCCCAGGAATAAGTATTACCCCCATACACACTCCCATATATTATTTCATTCTACATGTATTTTGATATAAATATATATATTAATTTTAAAATACAGTTAGAACGAAATTACACGTGTATATATATTTTTTATTTATTTTTTATTTAATCAATATCATTGTACGTGTATTTTGATATTAATATAAATGTAATTATGTATATATTAATATTAAAATACACTTAGACAGTGTATATGTCCATAAATATTGGGACATCAACACAATTCTAATCTTTTTGGCTCTATACACCACCACAATGGATTTGAAATGAAATGAACAAGATGTGCTTTAACTGCAGACTTTCAGCTTTAATTTGAGGATATATTAATGGGAGGCACATATACAAACTGTTGCAATTCCTACACCGTTCACCTGATTTGTATGTAAATACCCTCAAATTAAAGCTGAAACTTAAAGCAAATCTTGTTTGTTTCATTTCAAACCCATTGTGTTGGTGTATCGAGCCAATAAGATTAGAATTGTGTCAATGTCCCAATATTTATGGGCATATACACTGTCTAAGTGTATTTTAATATTAATATATACATAATTACATATATATTAATATCAAAATCCACGTACAATGATATTGATTAAATAAAAAATAAATAAAAAATATATATACATGTGTAATTTCGTTCTAACTGTACTCCTCCTACTTTCTTTTACATTTTAAGATGTAGTTTAATACACAGAGAGAACAAGAGAGGAAATATTAGAAATGGGCAAAGCCCATATCAAAATTCCAAAAGGGTTACAGAGATATCAAGGGGCATAACCCCACACAATTATTTAAAGAAAAAGAAAAGAGCTAAAGTGAAATGGTTGTTCCATTAGAGATGGAAAAATTGGACATCCATTACACAAAAAGATATCTCATAAAAATAGTAAAATAATTATTGGGTATAACCTTTATTAAGCCGCATATAAACAAAAAACAAAAAAACTATAAAGTGTAATAATAATGAAATACTTGTGAAACAAACAAGTGAGATAAAAACTGGGTAGATGCAGTGTGGATACCCTCAAACGGTAATGGAGTGGCTAAAGTCTCTTAGGCTTAAATTTGCACTAGAGAGTATAATACAGAGTACAGATTATTACAAAGCCACTCCCTATATATTGATAAATCCACACAAATTGTCATAGACTCTTATATATTTTTAAGCATACAGATTAGAATTAAATCAATAGTATAGGAGCTCTTGATAAAGGCGTGTGATCGCGCCGAAACGCGCGTCGAGCGTTAGTCGTGTTTTATTTTAATACTGGGGGATGCCGATCTTATGTTGGGGGATCTAGTTTGAGTATTTACTGGGTCTTCTCAGCTGTTACCATCTTGTCAGGAGTAGCTAGTGGCAGCAGTAAGAGTTAGGAATAGCGTCATCTGAGAGACCATCTAGTCAGCGACTCTTAGCGTTAGGCTGCCTTGAAGCAGCAGCCAACTGTTTATACAGAAGTCTACTACAGTGTATGCAGACGTGGACTCTCTACATAGATATAGAAATTTTAGTGGTTCTGAAGCACCAGTGTATAGTCTATATAGGAGTTCATTCTAGGGAATGCAGATGTGGATAGGGTATATTATCTAAGTGGTTTTTGTTCGTGGGATGAATTTTTCTGTTTGACGGCTGCCTCTATAAATTTGGGGTTTGAATTTTTAACCCATTTCATTACTAAGAGACAACTGCACATTAACCCCCCAGGTTCAACCCTAACCACCTATTGAGCATTCTATTTATCTATATATACATCTATGTTTTAACTGGTGTATTGAGACATTGTCTCTAGTATGGTTTCCATCAAACTAAGTACTATGTGTGCTCATTTATTAACCCTATCTATACTCCCATAAGGATACACTTGGATACTAGTAACCATATAGTGTATATATCTATATAAAGGCTGCTATTTATCTACTGACTAGACACCTTTTGCTTAACCTCCAACTGAGTAGCAAAGATAATCATATTCCCACTCAACCTCCCTCCAGACTCTCTTTTCTATTTGCAACAATTTAGAATAACTTTATACGATAGACTTATATTCTATGGATACTATTGATTTAATTCTAATCTGTATGCTTAAAGGACCACTATAGTGCCAGGAAAACAAGTATGTTTTCCTGGCACTATAGTGCCCTGAGGGTGCCCCCACCCTCAGGGACCCCCTCCCGCCCGGCTCTGGAAAGGGGAAAGGGGTAATAACTTACCTTTTTCCAGCTCTGGGCGGAGAGCCTATCAATATATAGGGAGTGGCTTGCTGTAATCACAGTGCTGTGGCTGTCAATGAGACAGCCACTAGAGGATTAGGGGGAAGGCTTAACCCATTCATAATTATAGCAGTTTCTCTGAAACTGCTATAATTATGAAAACATGGGTTAACCCTAGAAGGACCTGGCCCCCAGACCACTTCATTAAGCTGAAGTGGTCTGGGTGCCTAGAGTGGTCCTTTAAAAATATATAAGAGTCTATGACAATTTGTGTGTATTTATCGATATATAGGGAGTGGCTTTGTAATAATCTGTACTCTGTATTATACTCTCTAGTGCAAATTTAAGCCTAAGAGACTTTAGCCACTCCATTACCGTTTGAGGGTATCCACACTGCATCTACCCAGTTTTTATCTCACTTGTTTGTTTCACAAGTATTTCACTATTATTACACTTTATAGTTTTTTTGTTTTTTGTTTATATGCGGCTTAATAAAGGTTATACCCAATAATTATTTTACTATTTTTATGAGATATCTTTTTGTGTAATGGATGTCCAATTTTTCCATCTCTAATGGAACAACCATTTCACTTTAGCTCTTTTCTTTTTCTTTAGTTTAATACACAACTGTCATCAAATTTTCATTTTTAAATATTTAATAAAATTAATTCAACTTAGTAATGGTTTTTTAATATGACATAAATGGATTTATTTATTTTTTTAAGAAATGTTCACTTATTATCTGAGCAGCCATATTGTATTAAACTCTACTGTTATCTGACCAACTGCTGCTCAACCTAACTTGCCTGCTGCTCCGGTTTCACATAGAACAATCACAGCAGGCAGATTGAGCAGCGGTTTGTCAGATAACAGCCCAGCCCGATAAAAAGAGGATTTTTTTCTTTAAAAAAATCAACACACATCATTTAAAAAACGATATAATTAAGTTTAATTAAATGTAATAAACGTTTAGAAAATGACAAGTAAAAATGTGACAGTTGTTCTTTAAGTACCAGTATTCCATTTCAAATATAGGCAGATATTCTTTGTGCTTGGCCCACATTCCGCCCCCCCACCTTGTTTTGACTTGTGACTATTTTTCTCCCAGTTCTGGCAGGAAGGAGATTGGGTTGAAGTCGTTGTGGATGACAGGCTGCCTGTGAAATCAGGGACAAAGACATTGTGGAGTGCGCACTCACAATCTTCCAATGAGTTTTGGAGTCCACTCTTAGAAAAGGCTTACGCTAAGTAAGTAATATCTCATCCTGTGCTATCTAAATAAAAAATGTAGGGATACAATGCATCACTGAGAAAAAAATAACACATAGATTGATAATATACAGATAGACAAATAAAAACAATTATGGGTCATGCACATTTCATGTTCAGGGGTGAATATAGAAGTGTTTGGCAAATGTCCCTTACCTATCCCTCCATCACATGCCCCATGCTGATTTTGTGTGAAGGGAACACTATACCTGGTTGGACCTAGGGCTAGCTATAATTAGCATGGGGGGCTACTATAAACAAGTATCTGGATTTGGGCAGGGCTGGATTAAGATTGCCAATGCTATTCAGGATGTAAGATGTTGAGTATATCAAATCTTCTTTATTTCATGTATTTCCATCAAATTATATGTCTGTCTTTTTTTATCCACCATCAAGTTCTTGTTCCATGCCTCTTCATTTTCAAATTCTCCTTGCTCATTACTCTCACCCCTCCTAATTTACCATCCTTCTTATTTCTCTTTGCATTTTACTTCCATATACCCATTCCTCTTCTTTCTATTTGTTATTTTTTTCACGTCATTGTCCACTGCATTGTCCATTTTAGCAGCTCTGTCTGTGACCATGAACCCAAAGTGCACATTGGTGCCTGCCTGCTACCCCAACAAATGTATCAGCATTTGTCAAATTTCTTGCAAGATGCATTCGGGAGTGTGATTTCCGTCCATTACTTCAGCACGTAGCAGGAGAGATCAGTAGCACTGCTACCCTATAAATCCACTCCCGGTCTGCCATGCTACTAAGGTTGGACCTCCTTCATTATCACCATACCAGGCACCGTGGGTTGCCATCAGTGTGTCAACAAGGAGAGGAAGGCATTATGGCCAGTAGGAGCACTCCATAAATCTGCGATCAAAAGCAATGGCTGAGATGTAGTCTTTGCCAGATCCCCTTCAATACTGCCATGGAAGAATGGTACAGTAATAGGACTAGGTTCCTGCTGAAAGTGGATTGCAAGGAAATGATATAATATCGAGCAATGGCCTATAAAGGCTCCCCATCTATCATGAAAAAGAAGCTCCCTACCACAGCGATCAGCCGGGTAATCAGACAGGTGGTTTCATTGAGCATGCAGTTTTGACACGGCCCTGGTATAAAATCCAACATGATTTTCAAAAGTGGTTTACTTTGTGTGTAAAGATTGTCTCTGATAGTTCCAACAAACTAGATTCTGCTGATTTCTCCCTTAGTTGCTTCTTGGTGATCTAGAAGGACTAGGGCATAGCACTGTAAATTACACTGGTTTTCCTGATGCCTTGCCTTGATCATAAAAGAGAGAAGGTATATCAATTGCACTAGCTGTGGTAAAAGGAACTGCAGTGGGAGTGGAAGCAGAAGTGGAGCTGGTGGCCTTCTTCTTTGTAGCAGAAAAAAAACCTTCCTTGTACATTAACGGTGAGGCTTTCTATTTTAGCTTCATATCATGCAGCTCTCTTTTCCTTTCATTTCATGCTGTTATTTGAAAGGTGTACTAGTCCTACTGCTGCAAAAGTTACTTCAAGTTTGTGTTTGGGGGAGCCCTGCATGCTATACATACATAAGAGGGCTGCAGTGTGTGTGTGTGTGTGTGTTAGGGGTGCAGTGTATGCAATGTGTGTATGTGTGTGAGAGGTGTAGTGTGCGTGAGAAGGGTGTAGTGTTGGGAATGTAGTGTGTGCTAGGGGTGCAGTCTGTGTATGAAGGGTACAATGTGTGTGTGAGGTGTGTGTGTGATTGGGGTACAGTGCATGTGGGGGTGCAGTGTGTGTATGAACGGTACAATGTTTGTGTGTGTGTGAGAAGTGCAATGTGTGTGTGTATGTGTGTGAGGTGTAATGTGTGTGAGAAGGATGCATTGTGTGTGTGTGAAAGGGGTGCAATATGTGTAAGGGATGGTATAGGGCATGGGGGTTGGGAAACGTTGTGCCCTCTCCCTTCTTACCTTTTTCTCAGGGAGCAGGTACATTACAAGTCCTGGTGGTTCAGTGGTGGTAACTCTAACCTGCAGTACCACCGGCTCCATGCAGAGTTCACTCTTCTTGCAAGTTCCTCTGAGCATTGCCATAGTAACCTGTGGTAACTTCCCAGCTCGCGATAGAAACTTTCAGCCTTCCAGCTCCTCCTCTTCCCTCATTCTGAGTATTAGTGCCTGTGAGCTGGTGAGGGATATATTTGATCTCCCCACAGGCCTGTGAAGGTACACGGCAAGGCTGGCAATTGGATAGTGTCAGTTTGATCTCCCCTGGTGGCCTTGGTCAAAGGCCAGTCTGGGTCTGACGCTTGGAGTAAAGTGCCTCCATGACATACGCCACACAGTATGAGCGTGTTTAATGATGTTGCCTGAAGACAGTTCTGTGGTGTCTGGATGCATTGATATCAATAATATGACATGCAAAAAATTTATGACCACACAACCAGAAATCTTGCATGAAGTGTAATTGCATGAAAGATAAAATAAAAAAAAATTAAAAAAAACACAGAAAAGAGAACATAGGTGGTAGTATATTGGTATATGGGGAAAAAATCGATATTCTATTCACATTTATTTGAGCAACTCCATAATTGTAGGCATACAGCCATACTACCTCTGTTTTAATTGGGTTGTATGTATTCATTTATCCCTTTTAGAAATACTGTCAACAACTTTATACTCACTTACCTTCACCATAGAAACAACATCACTACCATTCATCTTTGGATTTCTTAGATGCTGTTTGACATTTATTTCCACAGGCTAGAAGGATCGTATAAAGCTATCGGGGAGTATCCATCAAATCGTCTCATAGATCTAACCGGTGGTGTAATAGAGTTCTATGAGCTAAAGAATGCACCAGCTGATTTGTTTCAGCTGCTCCAGAAAAGAACAAATGCATTGATCGCCTCCAATACTGTAAGTTTTACAAGATTATTTATTCGTAAATACCTCCTCACAATTGAAAGAAATTTTAATGCATAAATTATTGTCATATTTTTGTTAGAGACCCCTTAAATAAGGTGGGACTACTCAACCGTTTCATAGTAAAAACAAAAAAGGGAAATGAAGGCACACCAGGAACATGCATTTCTCAGGAATTGTGCTGCTGTAGACACCACAATTTATACATAATTCAGATTAAGGAACAGCTGAAACACCAAAATATTTTTTTACATTTTACAAGGCTACTTAAAATTACCTATCTCAGCAAACAAATATGGGGATTCAGTTACACCATATGGCCATCGTCTAGACTGTAAGCTCGTTTGAGCAGGGCCCTCATCTACCCATTGTTTCTGTGTCACTCTGTAATTGTCTCATTTATTGTAAACTTCCCTTTTCATAATATTGTAAAGCGCTGCAGAATTAGTTGGCGCTTTATAAATACCAATAATAATAATGCCCACCACTACATCACAGTACCACAATATTTGGGGGTCTGACACTAATTCCAATGCGTGAAACAAATAAATAGTGCTAGTGCTAAACAAGCTAAAGCAATGGTTTAGAAACCAGTCATCATGGCCCACCAACAGTCCAGGGTTTGTCAGTATTTCCATTGGAATAAAAAAAGGAAATACATAAAACCTGGATTGTTGGTGGGACATGAGGACTGGGTTGGGAACCACTGAGCTAAAGTGTATTTTAATAATATGTTGTAAGAGTATTGTGAATATATATAATGCAAAATGAATTTGATAAAAAATGCAATTAAAAAAAAATGCCGTGTCCAAAATAAACAAAGTGGTGTTGATAGACCCTCATGACACACATTTTTAAAGGGACACTCTAGACAACATAAGTGGGCTTGGCTAACATTCTCAATCTCTCAGGAGTTTCACAAGATTGAGTGAAAAAGATTCATATTGTGAATGGGGAGCTACTGAAGTTAATATCTTAGAAAACAAATATGGAGATACAGCCATATAGTCTTTAGCCCACCACTACTTCACAGTACCCCAATTTTGGTGGGTTCGACCCTAATTTCAACATGGGAGATAAAAGAAATAGTGCTAAATAAGATAAAGTGTAGTTAAATAATCTGCTGCGAGAGCATTTTGAATATTTACATCAAAGCAGGGAGAGCTCACAAATCAGCTCACCTAGCCACCTGCCCCGAGGCTAACAAGGCATTTGCCTGGGCATTTGGGGGCAGCGTTTTTTGCCGCCCCCTGGAAAGTGCCACCCAAGGCAAATGCCTTGTGGCCTCGCAGCAAATACAGCGCTGGGGAGGGTAGGATCCATAGGCTGGGTTACTGTGGGGAAGGGACTTTGATTACAGGGCCACTTTAAGTCATCATTTAGAGAAAGGTTATGAAAGTAAACAAATGCAGTTAAAATATGGTTAATTTCGGAAGAAGGAATATAAACTCTTACCTTTCACTTAAGAGGTTTCTGCTCTGCTCCGGTCCTCCCTCCTCACCACCTGTTCCTTAGATCATATTCTCTCATAATTTATATGCACTCTGTCTCTTGCTCTCCCTCTCACTAAAAATTTAAATCTTTCCCTTTCTTCTGGCATATTTCCTTCACCCTTCAAGCATGCAACCGAAACCCAGATTCTGAAAACGTCCAACCTTGACCCCACCTCCCTATTAAACTACCACCCTATCTCACTAGTGCCGTTTCCCTCCAAGATCCTTGAGAGAGTTGTGTTTGCGAGCTTGACAGACTTCCTCGAATCCACTTCAGTCTGGATTCCGCGCTTGTCACTCTGTCAAAATGGCTGTGACCAAAGTGTCCAACAATTTAATCTCTGCTAAATCTTACGGCCATTACTCTATCCTAATTCTCCTTGATCTTTAAGCGGCTTTGGCACTGTTGGTCATCAACAGCTTCTTCTCATTCTCTGTAATCTCACTTTATAGGATATTGCTCTATCCTGGTGCTCCTACCTCTCCCAGCGCTCTGTCAGTGTTTCTTTCTCTGGCTCTGCGTCTTCCTCCTAACCCCTCTCTATTGGCATTCCCCAAGATTCTGTACTCTGTCACCTACTGTTCTCTATCTATACTGACTCCCTTGGCTTCCGTTATCATTTATATGCAGATGACATGAAAATCTGCCTGTTCTCTTCTGATCTGTCTCCGCCCATCTTGACTCATATCATCTTACTGCCTCTCTGCGATTTCCAACTGGAAACCTGCTCAATTCCTTAAACTCAACAAGTCCAAAACCGAACTTCTGGTCTTTCATCCCTCAAGTGTTGCTACTGCCATGTCTGTCTCCCTCCAAGTCAATGGCGCTACTATCACCTCTACCTCGCAGGCTCGCTGCCTACGTGTGCTGTTTGACTCTGACCTCTCCTTCTCACCTTCTCTCCAAATCCTTCCATCTTAAAAACATAGCGCGTATCTGCCCCTATTTAACACCAGATGCGGCTAAGGTGCTGGTCCATATCACTGTCTTCTCTCACTTTGACTACTGCAATCCACTTCTCAGTGGTCTTATGTGTTCCCAGATTGCACAGTTGCAATCTATAATGAATGTGGAGGCAAGGCTTATTTTTCTATCTGCCCTCACCTCCCATTCCTATTCCCTCTGTCAGCCCCTACATTGGCTTCCAGTAAGATATAGGGCTCAATTTAAGATTCTGGTGTTTGCTAACAAGTCCCTACATAATACTGCTTCAACCTACCTATCCTCCCTAATACACAAGTATGTCCCGTCTAGGCCACTGTGCTCTGCAGAAGACCTCTGTCTGTACTCCCACCTCTGATGTTCACATTCAAGACTTTTCCAGGGCTGCACCTTTTCTGTGGAACTTCCTTTCCTTCTCCGTTAGACTTTCACCCAGTCTCCATTTCTTAAAAAATTCATTGAAAACCTACTTCTTCAGAAAAGTGTATCAATTAAACTGTTAGCAGGTTTTCATCCCCACATCCTGACTCCTCTCCTGCAACTGTCAAAAATAACCACCTAAGCCCTCAGAGAAAACTTTTCTAGCAACCTATTTCATTACCCCTTGAAACGGACCGTTTCAGCACACAAGGGGTTAAAAATCGTTTAGGCGATATTACCCTTTTAAATACACGAACAGCTGCTGCAAGCACCAATCTCCCGAATTGCAAACACATGAATACTCAAACTCCCGAACAGGAAACACACAAATTCACCAACTCCCAAACCGGAAACACACAAATTCACCAACTCCCGAACACACGAATACTGTTAAACAGCCGAACAGGAAAAAACATATGAACAGCTTACACTCCTGGCAGTCGCACTGTAACAGCATACAATCCAATTCCCCCCTATAACGAGACGACACTTTGTTTGAGGGTCAAGCAGAATCTGATTTACTGGGGCTAACTGCCCGGCTTTTATGCAGGTCTCCCACCTGGTGGACACTCCCCTAGGGGACCAGATGGAAGACTGGGAAACATATTGGACATTGACCAATCACAAGCTTACAATCCCACAATGCATCACAATCCCTCCTCTCTGTCCTGGAGATAATTGGGAAGTAATCCAATTATCTCCAAGGACAGAGGCAAAACTCCATTAACCACATGGCAGACAAAGGACAATAAAATACATAAAATTACATACTGTTACATTTATCACATAGAACATACACATTCTACCTATCCCCAGATAGCTTAGATCTGAGCACCCATTACTACCGGATGATGCTCAGATCACATACATACAGTTCAATCACCATGGAGCCAAAGTCTTTGATATAGTCTTTCAGTATACAGCTGGGCTCCATGGCATAACTCAAAAAAGTAAAAAATACAAGAAAGGGCTGCGCTTAGATAAAACTTTAAATAATACTGAAAGTCCAGATAAAATCAATGGATAAAAAGAGAAAGTCTTCGGTGGCAATGTCCATTGAAATCGTATTATGTAATGGTACTTGGTCCGAAACAGTAGTCTTGCTTATTATCTTCCTTATGGACCGTCTCATATGCAAGAGACAAGAACAAATACAGAGCCAAAATAGTGTAGTATATCTTGAATAAAAAAGTAAGTTGAAATGTAAAACTTGATTGCAAACTCACATTTAAAAGAGCTAGAACCCGCTCTGGTATAGAGGGCGTACAGCGGTTTAGATCCCCGCTTGTAGGATAGGGAATGACTTTCCTTTGCGTACTTCCTCCTTCCGTAGTATGAAAGACACTCGAAATAAAAAGAGACAGCCAATAGTGTTCTCTGCGTAAAACTTTGAATAAAATATATGAAAATAAAAGTGGATACTCACAAGACAGGAGCAGATCAACTGCTCCTGGTAGTTCGCGTTGGTGGTATAATCCCCACCTAGGATTGCTTGGAGTCCAGCGAATAAAAAGGAATGATGCCAGGTAACAATAATAAATATATGTGTATAAAAAGATAAATGGTACAATAAAAGGTTACCAAATATACATTAATATTTAAAATTACACAATATAAAAACCATAAACGCGTTTCGCCAATCGGCGTTATCAATATGGGTAAAGAACCTGATACCTGGCAGTGGATCCTTTAAATAACATATACAAACATTCAAAAATTGGCGCCAAAATTTGGGCAGCCAATCAGGATTCAAGTAAGAATACATATGTTAAAACATAATTAAAACAAGTTTGGTTAGATACATATAAAACAAGATTAAAATAACTATTTAGAAAATCAAATTTTAAATTGAAAATGAACTTTGCATAAAATAAATATAATGATGCACGGTCACATGACCGGCATCACAACCGAGGGGGGTGATGGGACATGTAGTATGACGCCGGCAGGCACAGCGCAGCCGCCGGCGTCATGAGAAGGGGCGGGCAACTGGCGTCAACTCGCATAGGGGATGCGGTCGAGAACACTATTGGCTGTCTCTTTTTATTCGAGTGTCTTTCATACTACGGAAGGAGGAAGTACGCAAAGCAAAGTCATTCCATATCCTACAAGCGGGGATCTAAACCGCTGTACGCCCCAGAGCGGGTTCTAGCTCTTTTAAAAGTGAGTTTGCAATCAAGTTTTACATTTCAACTTCCTTTTTTATTCAAAATATACTACACTATTTTGGCTCTGTATTTGTTCTTATCTCTTGCATATGAGACGGTCCATAAGGAAGATAATAAGCAAGACTACTGTTTCGGACCAAGTACCATTACATAATACGATTTCAACGGACATTGCCAGATAAGACTTTCTCTTTTTATCCATTGATTTTATCTGGACTTTCAGTATTATTTAAAATTTTATCTAAGCGCAGCCCTTTCTTGTATTTTTTTACTTTTTTGAGTTATGCCATGGAGCCCAGCTGTATACTGAAAGACTATATGAAAGACTTTGGCTCCGTGGTGATTGAACTGTATGTATGTGATCTGAGCACCATCCGGTAGTAATGGGTGCTCAGATCTAAGCTATCTGGGGATAGGTAGAATGTGTATGTTCTATGTGATAAATGTAGCAGTATGTAATTTTATGTATTTTATTGTCCTTTGTCTGCCATGTGGTTAATGGAGTTTGCCTCTGTCCTTGGAGATAATTGGATTACTTCCCAATTATCTCCAGGACAGAGAGGAGGGATTGTGATGCATTGTGGGATTGTAAGCTTGTGATTGGCCAGATAAGACTTTCTCTTTTTATCCACTGATTTTATCTGGACTTTCAGTATTATTTAAAGTTTTATCTAAGCGCAGCCCTTTCTTGTATTTTTTACTTTTTTGTGTTTTGTCTTAAGGGTTCTTGAGGGATTCCCTTATAGGGTTGCTGCTAATTTGTGTTATTTAGCGCTCACTCATTGTTCTGGTTTTATTCCATGGCATAACTATCTGGGGTAGCATGGTTTAAACAGTAAAGTACCGAATGGACCGGTGTTCGGATAATTGACTACAGGTAGGAGAAGGGAGGTCGGTGGCTCAGCGGTGTTCGTGACTTTAACAGTCCGCAGAAAGGTACGAACCAGCCTTTCTGCAGGGAAAAAGAACAGTGTTAAACATGGGGCCATAGTCTAAAGGGAGCAGGCGAGCAACCAGGCTCCTCCAGTGGCCAGTTGCGAGGCTGGTTCCGCCACACCCCTACTTTTACTCCTTTGTGTCACTATACCCCTCTAGTATGTAAGCTCATTGAGTAGGGCCCTCTGTTCCTGTGCGTCCAACTTGTCTGGTTACAATTCGTGTGTGTTAGTCCTCCCATTGTACAGCGTTACTGAATTTGTAAGCATTATAAAAATAATAAAATAATAAATAAGACAGAAACAACTTGATCAACTATTCCAACAAGATGAATTACACATCTCCCCTAGATACAGAAGTGCATATTGTAACGGCTACCCAGGTAGTAAGGGGGTATCAGCCGTTGGAGACGTCCTTTTCCTGGCAAGCTGCTGTATAGTAATGGAGTTACTTATTCCCATCCACAAGATCCAAGAGTAGAGTCATGCATAGCTGTCAAAAGGAGCAAGGTATTTGTGCAGTAAATCCCCTTCCAAGAACGAGACAAGGCTCCGTTTTGAAGGGTCAAGCAGAACTGGGTTTTATTGATAAGGATTCTCCTTTTATGCAATTCTGCCCTTGGGAGGACGACACCTACATAATTAGTACAGTAACCAATAACAAACATGGTACATCCCACACGTCTCCTCCCCTCAGATAAACAGTTAACATAATTAACACACACACATTTTTACCCTAGTTTTGGATGTACCACAAATACTTGGGGTACACCCTTAAATCTAGTATCCCCAGATAGCCCTCATCTAGGGGAACAACATATTATAAAATCATCCCATTCGGTTAAAGTGTTCGGGAGTTATGGGACTTTAAAGTTTTGACCGACCGCATAGGCACACTAGCCGAAAATAGTTCCATAAGTTTTGACCTTGCGGTCGGTCCTCGTTCGTGTGGTGAAAAGGCACGAAAATCCTGCCATCCATGCATATCCTGCTGGTCGCTGAAATCCCTGTATGTAGTATATCCTATCCACCGAACGGCAGGGCGTTCAGTAGTTTTAGCATGAATTTACGGTGTTATGGAGGTTTCAGCGGTGTTCGCCTACTCGATTTTATTCCAGACACTCGACGGCAATTCACAGCTGTTCGTGCGTTAAGATGGCCACAAACACGTGCAAAAGTCCCAAAATGGCGGCCACCTAGGATCTGAAACAAAGGATTTGTGCATTTCTCACATGAATGGTAAATGCCGGCCTGGGAGATAAAATACCACATAATTGAATAGCAGGGTGGCCCGGTGTTCGGTAGTTTGTATTCGTATTTGTGCCTGCTGAGTCCCTACCGCATGGATCGCACAAATAGACGAATACTGGCAACAAAAGTCCCGAACTGTGCTACAATAATCCACATAAACCAGGTAAGCATATTCCCTTGTATCTTTAGTCTCGGTTAGTGCTAAATATTTCCAGGCAAAGGGTAAAGTTCTGTTACAAATATTTTTCTTTTATTTGAGAATTGCATCGTCAGTATTTTCTTACAGGGTATACCGGAAAGTCCAAATGGCCCCATACCAAAAGGGCAAACCAATACCATATGGGGCCATTTGGACTGAAATATTCAAACATTGTTCACATTATTTAACAATGTCCAGATTTTGCAAGGTAGACCCAAATGAGCTTGAATTTTGTCTGAATTTCAGACAAACTAAAAGTTTAAAACTAGTAACTGGGAAGTCATTAAAGGACCACTATAGGCACCCAGACCACTTCAGCTTAATGAAGTGGTCTGGGTGCCAGGTCCAGCTAGGGTTAACCTTTTTTTCTATAAACCTAGCAGTTTCAGAGAAACGTCTCATTGACAGCCACTAGAGGGCTTCTGCGCTTCTCACTGTGAAAATCAGAGTGAGAAGACGCCATCGTCTATAGGAAAGCATTGTGAATGCTTTCCTATGGACTGGCTGAATGCGCGCGCGGCACATGCCGCGCATGCGCATTCAGCCGATGACAACGAGAAGGAGGAGGAGAGGAGGAGAGTCCCCTGCCTGGTGCTGGAGAAAGAGTTAAATTTAACCCCTTCCTCACCCTAGAGCCCGGCAGGAGGGGGCCCTGAGGGTGGGGGCAACCGGCAGGAGGGGGCCCTGAGGGTGGGGGCAAGGGGTTATGCATAAAAGCTATGTGTGGCACAATAAAATCACATTATTCTCCCAGAGCTGTGTCTCATCGAGTTACTGTCAGCGGTTCCAGAGTGGCTGAGGGAAGGAATTAGCAGATGTAACTGGTCTGGGTTACCCAGAGTCCGCTACACAGTATACATGCTTCCTCCTGCCACATGGCAGGTGGGGTGAAAGGCAGGTTTAATAGTGGCAAAACGAGTATGTTTTCCTGGCACTATAGTGGTCCTTTAAGCTTTAAAGGGGGATTCAAAACAAGTAATAAAATTAATAAAATAAGGACGTCCCTCTGCCTCCACCAGTGACAAGCGGGTGGGGGCTATTATAATATTAGTAGGGCCTAGTGTTCCCTCTCTGGCCTGCACCCATTGGTGGTGGTCCTAATCCTAATAGTCAGGGGTGATGACCTAGTGACCCACGAGAGCCCCACCAGTGAGCGACGTGTGAGAGCTTTAATTGATTAAACACTGGACAGGTGGGTCGACATGCCAGCCACCAGTTTTAAACTTTCAGTATGTAGCAGAACCACTGCTTAGTTATATGTTTCCCCTTGTATTGTGTGTTTTCCCCTGTATTTCGTGTTCTGTGCCTTGTTCTCCTGCTTGAGAGCGACCATATGAACAGAACCCATTTGTCTTCCGATCGATGACCACCCCGGTGCCCCATTAGAATGTTCACCCCAATTTATTAGAACGTTCACACCCATAACATAAGTGCAAAACCGCAAGGGAGGTAATTAATGAGTGCTCCCCTGGGTGGCCGCCATTTCTTACAGACGAACACCAACCAGAGGGAGCATTCATATCCCGAAAGGAGACGGAAATGTATGGTGTGGGATTATAAGGGTTGGGGGGACACTTTTGGGGCACTGGCTAGTTTGGTGGGCTTTCTGTGCCTGGGAGACAAAGACTAGGTGCCTTTTCCCGCGCCCGGACTCCCAGGCACAGAGGATCCTGGAATGAAGACCCCTGTCGTTTGGTGTGGGAGACCCCTTGTATGTAGTGCGGGCTTTCTGTACCTGGGAGACAAAGTGACTAGGTCCCTTTTCCCGTGCCTGGGTTCCCAGGGACAGAGGATCCTGGGATAGAAACTCCTGTGTATCTGTGTGGAAGACCCGTTGCAAGGGGTTATGCATAAAAGCTATGTGTGGCACAATAAAATCACGTTATTCTCCCAGAGCTGTGTCTCATCGAGTTACTGTCAGGAATGGGTGTCTTTACATTGTAAGCGGTTCCAGAGTGGCTGAGGGAAGGAATTAGCAGATGTAACTGGTCTGGGTTACCCAGAGTCCGCTACACAGTATACATGCTTCCTCCTGCCACACGGCAGGTGGGGTGAAAGGCAGGTTTAAAATCTCCCTTGTAGTAATATGAAGGGCTTACTGACTGTGATAGACTTTTTATTAATTTATTTTAACTTGCTAGCCAGGCACCACATAATTAATCCTTGCAAAGCAAAGGGTTATTTAACTATTTGTCTGCTGGCTTCTAGGTCTGCTAGCCGACACATGGTCCTTCAAATTATGATTATCTAAAATCTGTTTAATTGCACTAGGCTCCTTTTGATGTTCAATTACTGTATATTGCGATGTAACCTTATAGGTGCCCATGTAAAAGTCTCTTTCCAATGTAATCCTTTAATCTCTTTAATTACTTGTGCAGAGTTTTTTACATAAGAAGGTGATTTGATCACATATTTCTGTAGATACAAGTCTACATACTCTGATATATTACTTTTTGAGGGACCCAAACCCACAAATAATGTGTCTTCCTGGTGGGTTTACCAAATTTGTATGAACTTTGGGCAGGTGATAAAAAACAGCAATTCTAGAGACTTTGACAAAAAGATAATCAGATTCAGCCTTCGTAATGATTTGCTTATTAAAAGTTAATAGTTAATATTAACTTTATTTATATTTAATAGTTGTAATAATTGTTGCTTAGAAGCTTTAATTAGATTTTCTTTTAACATACTATATGTGATTCTATCTCCTAAAATTCTAAAAGCTTAATTTAAGTACATTGATCTATCCATTATTACTATCCCTCCACCATTATCCGCTTGTTTTATTACAACGTTATATGTTTCCCTGAGATTCATAATAGTGGTTTTTTATGCTTTGGATAACATTTCATCCTTTATTTTCTCGAAATCATTTAAAACCATTTTCCAAAACACTGGGAATATTCTCCTCTATCCCACGTGGGAAAAATTTTCTATTTAGGTTTCAGTCCAGAGTGTATTATATTTGGTCATCAATTCTTTCTTTAGGGATCAAATTAAAACCTTTTTTAATCATAAGGTCATAGTTATTTTCCTTTCAAAAAATATTTTTACCGTTCATTTACTATGAAATTTCTGTATATCGATAAATAATTTGAAATTAATAGGACCTTTTTGTGGAGGGAATTTAAGTCCTTTCCTTAATACTTTTCATTGTTCTTGTGTAAGGTCATGTTTCGAAAGATTAAAAATGCCTTTAACTTTATTCTCCTTACTTCTTAGTGCTGAGTTTCTACCCCCTGAAAGTCCTCCTGTCTTCCCTCAAGGTTTTGAAGTTTTCTTCTTTTAAATGGGGTCTGTATCTCCAATGGTGCATTTCTGGTTTTGTGTATCCAAGGGTTCTCTTTTTCGGGTCAGCTCATTCCTAATTATCTTTTGCCTAAAAAAAACTTCTGGATGTGTCTTGTTGTTATTATTATTATTATTATTATTATTATTATTTATATAGGGCCATCACATTCCGTAGTGCTGTACAATGGGTGGACTAACAGACATGTCATTGTAACCAGACAACTGCACGTACAGGAACAGAGAGGTGGAGGGCCCTGCTCAATGAGCTTACATTCTAGCGGGAGTGGGGTATAGTAACACAAAGGGTAAAAGTATGGGTACGAAGAAAGTTGTTAGAAAAGTATTCACTGAGGGCTTAGTAGGTAATTTATGACAGTTGCAGGAGAGGAGTAATGGAGGGTGGGGGATAAAAACCTGCTAACAGTTTAATTGGTATGCTTTCTTGAAGAAGTGAGTTTTCAATGATTTTTTGAATGAGTTGAGACTGGGTGAAATTCTTACGGAGAAGGGAAGGGAGTTCCACAGAAGAGGTGCAGCCCTGGAAAAGTCTTGGAGGCAAGCTTTAGAGGTGGGAGCATGGACAGAAGATATACGTAGGTCTTTGGCAGAGCATAGGGGCCTCGACGGGACATACTTGTGTATTAGGGAGTGTGACGAGAGCAATCTCGCCACATTGCATTGGAGAAGCCTGGTTGCTCGCCTGCTGCCTTTGGATTATGGCCCCATGTTAAAAGACCTTGTTTCCCCTGCAGAAAAGACTTATTTGTGCTTTTCTGCCCGGTGTTCGGTAGATTCAATCTACCGAACAACCGCACGAATGACTAGGCCACCTGGGAGCTGGAGTGTGCCGGCAATTAGCCTCCCAGAAGCTGTGGTTAACCGCAGCTTAATTGACGAATACTGGGTGGCCGCCATTCGTATACCGAACATGAGGTTGCGGCCATTTTAAACATGCGAACGCACAGTGGTGATCGACGCCTAACTTATGGAACTAAAAACGGACACAGTTTGGCGCGAACACCGCTGAAGCCGCCAACCTCCCTTCTTGTTCGGTGGAAGTACACGAACGACCCCATATTCGGTAGTTGTACCTGACTGCACTATACCCAAGATAGGAATCCCATGGAGCTCATTCGTATGAGAACTGACTTTGTGAAGACTTTGGGTCCATGGCGATTAAATTGTATTCGTGTGGTCTGAGCGCCATTCGCTTAATAATGTGCGCTCAGACCTGAGCTATCTGGGGATATGTTAAATGTATATCTTTACTGTAACTGTTCCAACATAGTGTATTTTAACAGTAATTCCTGTATTGGTATCCCCACGTGCATAACGGCGATTTGCCTTTGTCCTGGGAGATAATTGAATTACTTCTCAATTATCTCCAGGGCAGAGGGGAGGAAGCCAGGATGCAATGTGTGAATATAATGTGACTGTGTGTCCTATTTTGCTGATTGTCTGTCTTTTGTCACAGTCTCCCATTTGGTCCCCTACGGGAGTGTCCACCAGGTGGGAGACCTGCATAAATACTGGGCAGATAGCCCTCATTAAACAGACAACTGCTTGACCCTCAACACGGAGCTCTGTCTCGTCTTTGGGGGGATTTACTGAACGCTGATAGAGACTGATTGCTAGGAGTGTAAGCCGCTTGGGTGCTTTTCCTAGCAGCGATTCGTATGGTTCCAGTTCGTGTGTTTGGAGTGCTATATTGTATGCCGTTCGGGAGATTCGAGCATTCCCTTATTTGCGGTTCGGGAGTTCGGTGTTCTACAGTAGCTGTGCCTGTATCTCTGGAAAGGGGACGATCGCCTAAACGGTTTTTACCCCTTGTGTGCAAAACGGTCCATTACAGGGAGGATAGATTGGTTGGAGTAGGATTATGTAGGGACTTGTAAGCAAGCACCAGAATTTTAAATTGAGCCCTATATGTAACTGGAAGCCAATCCAGGGACTGACAGAGCGGGGAGGCATGAGAGGTGCGAGCGGACAGGAAAATGAGCCTCGCCGCCGCATTCATTATAGATTGTTCCTTTGATATTCTGGTATCTTATTAAATTATATTATTTTTATTACACAAACCTCATATTTTATATTCTTTCATTCCATAGGTATTCTAACATTCATTTTCTTTTTCTCTGTGGTATTACCATATTGGTTCCTGTGCAGTCCTTTTCTATTCTATCTTCTTCTGTTAGGTGTATTTAAATTATTATTTGTAGAATATTTGGCACTGAAAATCTTTTTAGGTCTTTGATGATTCTTATTCCATTCTCGTTTTCTACCACTTTGGAAATCGTCCTTCTTTATTAATAATAACCATCTTTCCATTTTCTCTATTTTCCCCTTAAGTTTTAAATTGTGTTCTTTTATGGATTCTTCACTTATTTCTTGATTAATATCAGCTTTCAGTTAATAAATTTCTTTTTGTTTCTCATTCTGAGTTTTTTTGTTGATATTCCACTAAAAGTCTTATTATTTGGAAGGAGCAGTTGTCTAAGGATTGATTTCATCTAGACATGAAGACTTGGTCCTCATGTCCATGTGCAGATTGTTTATTCAAACCGAGACCTCTGGGTATTATACCCATCTTTAGATATTGTTTAAAATATTTGAAAACCCACCACTTTCTTACTTCTTTTTCTGCTAATCTATCTAATTTATTAAAAGCAAATGTGCTATTAAACCTTGAATCTTAACCTCCATCTATGTATAATGTTTCCATTCTTTTAGCTCAGGCTTCTCGAATCGATGTAGTCATAAGCCTGCAGTATGCCTTACTGTGTTAACCTCTACCACTTCAGCTGGAAGGCTATTCCATGCATCCACTACCCTCTCAATATACCCACAGTGTCAGCTAGAGTAGTGGATATTAAGTATAAAATATACTTATTTTGAAATCAAAATAAACAATCTCCCAAAAGACAACCTTATTACAAAGTATATAGAAAAGCCAAAGCATATGGGATACGGCTGTATAGATCTAAAAAAGGAACATAAACACAAGAGGTTAAAAACCGTTCAGGCGATATTCCCCTTTCAGATGCACAGACAGCTACTGCAAGCACCCATCTCCCGAACTGCAAACTACACGAATTCTCCAACTCCTGAACAGGAAACTCACGAATACTGGAAACAGCTGAACAGGAAAAGCATACAATCAGCTTACACTCCTGGCAATCAAACTGGAACAGCATACAATAAATCCTTCCCCCAATAATGAGACGACACTTCACTTTGAGGGTTAAAACAGGAACTCCCTGTACTGTCACATACAGTCTCTTTTATTCCCAATCCACAAACCTAGTACAGCCCACAGGGCGTTACAAAACAACCAATCAATCCGTACAATACACCCAGACACTCCCAAATATACACAAAATAAGATATAATGAAGTTCAGTTACTTTTACAATGTGTATGACAGGGGATAGTGACTGCCAGTCTCTCAGTAATGCAGTCTACTCTGGTGTGAAGGTGGAATTGTTTTTACAACATCCAAACAGCCACACTTATGTAGTGTTTTCTTTAGCTTATGTACATATATTAACTGCATTTTTTGGAAGTGGACAGAATTCACAGGTGCGGGGTGCAATTATCGATAACAGGGTATGTCATTGGAGAAGATACGTTAGCCTTACCCTTTTGTCCCCTGCAGCTATGCTAGTTGCCTCTGAATCAGTTCTTTACTTGACAAGTTATCTCAATCCCTAAAAAGCTATCAATAGCTTTGTGACTCCCTAATCCTGCGTTCACTCAACACTCCATAACTCTTTCATGTCCATAGCTTCTAGAGTCGGGTATTGGGTTATACCATTGCACACATGATAATTTAATTACCATGACTGCTTTTCTCTTGTGTTACTCTTGTACATAGTTACCTTATTTTATTTGAATCTATCATCCCTGAATTGTGAGGGCTTTCAGACAGAGCTTCCACAGAACCATGTACATGTGGATGGCTGTCTGCTGTAGTAATTCAATTTAGGAAGCACGCAGTCCCATAGACTGCTCTCAGTGATGTATGCTGTCATACACATTGTAAAAGTAACCGAACTTCATTATATCTTATTTTGTGTATATTTGGGGTGGATATGCCAAAATTGTACTTTGTGTTATAGCCTTGACAGCTTATATATGTAGTGGTGTGATTGTTATACTGTCTATGGTTCCATGTCTCTGGTACAGGTTTTGAGTGCTGGAGATGCTGAAACATGCACCCCACTTTGGACTGGCTGAGGGTAAAACCAGACGCTTTGTACATATGTTTTTCTCCCTTTTCTTTTACTTCTTAATTTATAATTTTTCTTTCCTACTTCCCTTCTGTGGATCCGCTGGACAGAGACAGCTCTTAAATTAGGTGGCACCTCTCTCGCAGCTGGACAGGTCTTCTGTTAGTTCCCCATACTATATCAGACATGACGATGAATATCATTCTTAACATCAAAGGCCTAAATGCACCCAAGAAAGGGCTATTATGTTTAAACCCAGACATAGTTTTTCTACAGGAGATGTATCTCCCTACACAGATACCTCTGAAGAACCATAACTATCACTTGACATATGAAGCTAAAGTCCACCAGAAGCGTAATGGAGTAGCCATTCTAGTACACAGTCTCTGACCACTGTGAATAACTGCGAATAACTATCTTGTGAATACCTGGATGTCCAGCCATCCTGGCATCATGCATAAGAAAAAGGACATGTTCTCTATAATCTTGAGGAACGTTGAGTTTAGAGGGGGGTATAGGCAAAGATGTCTGATCCTGAAGATTCTCTAGAGTTTATTAGGGTCGAACTGATTACTAATTTAGTTGTGTCTAATATGCATACAGTAGGTATTATTGGTGATAATTGTGGTTCTGTTATAGATTGGGTTTTAAAGTGACGGAATAGATCATCAGCCTTAGTGTTCTTCGACCCGGTTTGTACGTCACCTTATAATTAAAACGTGATAGAAACAAGGACCACCGGTGTAGTAGAACCCTGTAATACATGTTGCCATTCCTTCAGAGCAGTGATTATTGCCAACAACTCCCTATCTCCTATGTCCTATCATTTTTCCGTTTCGGTTCAATCTTTTGGAATAGAAGCCGCAAGGATGCAGGGGTAAGTCATCCAATGGTCTTTGAGATAAAACAGCCCCCACACAGGCGACTTCCAACAAAAACAGACGAGTAGAGTCAGTATGAGCCAATATGGGTGCTGAAGCGAATGCCGTGTTTAGGGTGTCAAAAGCAGCATTGGCCTCTGGGATCGATTGTTGGTATGTCTTCCCTTTTTTGGTCAAGGACGTGATGGGTGCCGTAATAGAAGAAAACCCTTTTATGAATCTCCTATAATAGTTGGAACATCCCAAGGAGTGTTGTATGGCTTTCAAACCAACAGGTAGGGACCAATTGAGTATAGCCTCAAGCTTATTTGGGTCTCTGAAACCCTGAACCTGAGATGAAATACTCTAAAAAGTAAACCTCTCTCTTGTCAAATAAGCACATCTCCAGTTTACAGTGCAATCCGTTCTACAATAACTTGGATAGGATTTCTTTAACGTGGTCATGGTGCATCTCCATGTTCTTTGACTATTTATGGGTGTTGTCCATGTAAACAATTCCAAATTCATGTAAGTAGTCCCTCAGTACATCCTTCATGCAGCAATACAGTAAGTAAGGTAAGTAAAACTTGTTTTAATGGATACAGAATAGGTGTCAATAATTCATTTAGTTAGTATAGCACTCTAACGTTTCAAATATGTTTGCATTCCTAATGTTCCTTTAATACATCATATCTGGTGCCCACATCCATTACTTTGGCTAACGAAACAGAAAGGTAAAGGATATCATAAGAAAAAAAGGCACAGGGAATACAATCACTGTTGTCAAATCACTTTAGTTGTTTGAAATAATTTATATCTACCATGTATCTCTGTTGACAGGATAAAGAAAACAAAGAAATGGGTTTGTTTGCCCCCCACACATATTCTGTAATTGACGTGCAAGAGGTAAGTAAACACTATGACAGATCATCAGGCAAAAATTTTCCAATAGAGAATATCAACACTAACATTGTTTATTTTACTATTTTCTTTAGATAACTCACCTTGATAAGAATGTTCAGCTGATCAAATTGAGAAATCCTCATGGAGCTGGAGAATGGAAAGGAGCTTGGAGAGATACGTACGTCTTTGGCTATGCCTCCAACATGTTATTAAAGATTATTTTGGAAAAACATCAGGATTTAGATCCAGTTCCTTTGAAATTGTGAAGGAAAACAAAAAAAAATGATACAGGGTTATAAATATTTACTAAAGTGAGAATTGTTGGGAATTCAACGTGAATTTCAAATTGTGGGCACAAATTGCTGACCTTAAAAGGACCATTAAAGTCATTTAGACAATTCATCAAAGTGAAGTGGTCTGGGTGCAGGGGTCCTGCCATTTTAATCCTTTAATGTAAAAAAGTGCAGTTTACATTGTAGGGTTAAAAACACCCTGCCTTGTTTAGAGTCACTAAAGGCAATTCCTTCTCCCAAAACTAGTGCAAATTGGTCCTGGAATCAAATGCTGCTTATAACAGCATTTGATTGGAGCGCAGCACGGCAGGGCATAGAGGAGATTGTGTACGATATCAGCAGGTATGGTGACATCTTCGAAGGTGGAGCAGGCTGCTGCAGTGAAAGACTCTCAACACTAAAAAAGTAATAATCATTATTTAACCGAGTTGTTTTTTTCTAAAGCAAAGAGGGGGAAAGGGGGATGGAGGTTTGGCTGGCATTTCAATGCAAGGATGTGTTTGCGTGTAGTACACACACACCAGCATAGATACACATAGACATTGACACGCATATATACACTGGATACCTGTTTGTGTTTGCCAGGCTGGGACACAGCCTGGTGACGTCCTCCATGTGGAGGGGGACTGTCCTCATGGTCCTTCCTCTCTCTTCAGCGGTTTGGATGCTGTCCGCTGTAGCTCCAGCTTTTTTTTTTTTAATGTGGTGCGTGCACGCCGACATCACAACGCTAATGATGTCATGGTCCGCTAAAACTTTTAAATTCGAAAGTATTGGGGGCTTGGTAACAAATATAAGGAGCCACAATATAAAGGTTCCTACAGCATAGGTCATTGCCCAGTTGTGGTTCAAGTTTTGTCATCAATAGCGCGTTATTATTATTGTGTAATATTCTGGTTCTGACTTTGGCTTTGTTTGACTATTCTACCTTCTATACTCCTTTGGCTCAGCTATTGTGATATTACTATTCCTGATTTTTGGCTTCCCTAACTACAGCTTATCCCTGACTATTATCAAGTGAAAATTTACATATTTTTTGGGGACCCAAAACGTTTCCATGCATTTTGGGTGCAGGAGGATGGCTCCTCTGGGGTCAAATGAGATCTTACATCTAATGGCCATTGGAGTGGAACCTCCATTTATATAAAAATGCACAGGGATTTGGAATAATGACCAATTAACTTTTTTTTTTCTTTTTTTTTTATGGTATTTATTAAAGATGATGTATACTGTGTTCATTGCTTCTGCCCATGAGTAGTGGGAGTTTGAGAGTAGAACTTATTTTTGTGTCCAGTGAGATCTGGCTGAGGCTGATAGTAGCGTGGGGCTGGTCAAGTCTTTATTGTTCCTTTCTCTGCATCATCCTAGACTTCCCCACAAGGCTCTCTGTAAACTGTGTGTAAATGACATGAACGCACTTGCTCCCAGCACAGGGGACCATCGGGCTGTTAAATGTCCACACTGCCCAACCAAGCCCCTCATTATATTTTCCCATCAGGTGGCCCTAAATAACCCCCCACCCCCATCACACCCCAAGTTGTGTGACCTGTTGCAGCTGGCGTCCGGCGCGGCAGCGGAGACCGCCGCAACGCTTGAGCCCAGGTCCCGCGGTTTTGGAGGGTGCCATGGCCAGCCATGTGAGTGCTGGGACCGCCACTGGAGGCATTGGTCCCGCCGGCTGCTACATGTGCCTGGCGGCAGGGGCAGAGCTTGGGCTCAGTGGCAAGCCCATCACTGCCAGGCAGCGCAGCTCCGGGATCAGTGGGAGCCGCGCTTGGATTATGGTCCGCCGCAGTCAGCGGGATAGGCCTAGGAAGTGTGCCGGGCGCAGGGGGACCATGGAGACCAGGCGCCTCCTGGTGGTCGGGAGAAGAATCGGGCGGAGACAGGAGCCGGTGCAACACAGGCCCGACAGTGTGCAGGCAATTGGGAGTTTTCAGACGGTTGCAGCAGGCCCCAGTGATTTAATGGTGTACTGCTGGGGGGCATAGCAGGCCTGCCAGGGTTTTTCCCCCTTCCTGGCCTGGTGCCAGGACGGATGGTGGAGCCATGGGCCCCTTGGGAACAGGGGGTGCCACTGGGGTTGTCATCAGTCCCCCTCCTTTGCTTATCCAGGGCCCCTTGGTTCCACAGGGTCTTGGGGGTGCTGCTGGGCCTTCCCGTGGGTGAGTTGAGGCTAGGGGCACATCCTGGGATCAGAGGGAAGCCCTCGGGGGTTGGACAGGGGCCCAAGAGATGGTGGCACTTGATGGCAGCGGGGTGGCTTCCGGGGATGGGCCATAGGCTCCTTCTCATCAGGTGTCCCCTGGGGTGGGTGCACAGGTTACCCTCTTGGGCAGTCCTGGTCAGGAGTTCGTACGTCAAGGTCAGGCAGCTAGGGCCGATGTTGCCTTGGCCCAGGCTAGTGGGCAGCAAGTGGATCAGTCAGACCACAACTTGGAAGGCGCAGGGCCCGCTGGTAGGAGATGACGCAAGCAGGTGGACCGCTATGGCTAGGGGTCCTGGGGCAGAGGGTCGTAGTAATCACACAGGGTCGCGCACGGTGCCAGGAAGGTCGCGGAGTAGCAGATCCCTGGGTGCCATTCTGATGCGCGCGTCGAGTCCGGCTGCTGGCATTGAGCAGGTCATGTCAGGGCCCTAGGGCAGTGTCCCCAGGGGTGTTAGTTACACGACCGGGGTGGCATCAGATGCTAGCGGTTCCTCTGGGGAGCACTCGTGGCTTCTATCTGTGGATCTAGGTGCAGGTCGGCCCAGGAGTGGAGCAGGAGTCCCAGGAGTAAGGCCAGCGGGGCCTCGGGGACTCATAATAAGTGGCGGGGTCAGGACCCCAGGAGGAGGTCATGGAGTGCCTGGTGATGCGGGGGTATGGAGAGCACGGAACAGTACAACCAGTCCAGGCATTCTTCTTCTTGTTCCAGGTTTGGCAGTGGATTACCTTCTGTATATTCCCGGCATCAGGTGGATTCCCTGGTTGGCGTGAGGAGAAAAGTGGAGGAGCATTCTGGTTGGGTGGGACCTTAAGGAGCAGCCCCGAGGCCATCGCCTGAGGTGGGCTTGGTTGGTGAGTCAGACCCTACTGGCACCCGTTGCCTTGGGGCCTAAAGCCAGAGAAGGTAGACGCGATGCTGCCATGGCTAAGCCTCTACAGTAATTTGAGCGATGCGGAATTGTTGCTTTCAGGTTTTGCGCATGATTTTGTTATACTGTTTCGGGACAGGGAGTTTGCTTCGAGCTTTCGGAACTTAAAGTTGGTGAGGGAATTTCCAGGGGTGGTTCAGGAAAAGCTTTTCAAGGAGGTTAAGTTGGGTCAGATGGCAGGGCCATTTGTGGACCCCCCGCTACCCGGCCTGTGGTTGCCTGCGTTAGGGGTGGTTCCTAAGAAGGAATTGGGGAAGTACCGTCTCATCCATCATCTTTTGCACCTGAAAGGGGCTTCTGTGAATGATGACATTGCCAGGGAACTTTGCTCGGTCCCGTATGCTTCATTTGACCAAGCAGTCGAGTTGGTTAAGAAGGTCGGGCATGGGGCGCTGATGGCCAAGGTGGTCCTTAGTATGGTAGCGGGGGGTAGGTGGCCGGATGTGCTCATGCTGCATGCAGGTGGTAACGACCTTGGGCTTATCCGTCAACTGCTAGTTAAGAGAATGAAGCAGGATGTAAATAGGATTAGGACCTCAGTCCCTGGGGTTCATCTGGTGTGGTTGGAGATAGTTCCCGGGCTCTGTTGGTGGCATGCACGGGATTTGGCAATTGTGGGGCGCTGCCGAGGGGCAGGTTTGGGCTCCGGAGACAGGGGTTCTCCTAGGTTGATGGCTAGTTTTATACGGAAGTTAGGCGGGGTGGTAGTCAGGCACAAGGAACTGGAGGACATGTTGCCTGGCTATTTCAGACAGGATGGGGTGCATTTCTCAGATGTGGGATGTTATTTGTTTAATTTGGGGCTGCAGGAAGGGCTGGCCAAGGATTTGTTTCTTTGGGGTGGCGGAGCTTAGACATCTTAAGGGTTCAAGGTCTGAGCTTGTGGCGTGTGGTATAAGGAAGGTTAAAGGGGTAATGGGCCTGCTTAGGGAAGAGAAGAGCAAGATAAGTTAGTTGGCTGGTTAATATGGTTGGTTACCTGTTGTAAGATGATGGTGGGTTTCAAGCTAGTTGGTAGTTCAGAACCCCTGTGGTGTAGAGGTATCAAGGTACACCCCTGCCAGGATCATGTGGAAAATGTTGGATCCTGTTTATGTTATTTTTATGTGATTGTTATACTATGTTATGTGATATATAATGGGTCATTACCTTGTGATTTGAAATGTGGGGAAGATAATGTTGGATGGCTGAGGATTTGGGGTGGACAATGACTTTAAAAAGTTATTCATATGTTATTGTTATTATTATTATTATGATTATAATAAAATTAAAGCTGTGGACATATTGACCCATACCTATGAGTGTCAGTGTTGTATTAGGGGTGGGTTGGTATAGGTAGTAGACAGCTCCTCCTGCCCATATGGCGACAATGCACCTGTCATGTCTGTTTCTCACCTTTCTACGTGCAGCCCTCACACAGAGATTGCCCCTCCTCCATACTTCCTCCTGCAGGTGTTGCTTTCATTTGGTCTGAATTCAACCAGGAGAGACAGCAGAGGAGGATTCACCTGATAACAGACATGCAGAGCACAGCCTAGTTATCTCTGTGCCTGAACCAACTAAGCAAAATGGAAAGGTGCTAGCTTTAACCTCTGATTTTAGAGAAATTTAGACATTCTTCTAGCACAGTGTATAGCTGTTTCTCTATCATTTAATATTAAGGTGTATTTGTTATGACAAGTACCCTTTCATAATCATTAACCCCACAATTACAACTCATCTCAAGCTTTTAATCATCTTATCAATAAACACGAATGTGACCTATCTCTGACATTAACCCCTCCCTAAAACCCCCTTTACCCTACCCACTTCTAATATTATCTTTAACCCTGCATGATTACACATCTGTATGCACTCACTATACTCACAGACTGAAACTCAATTCATTACTGTGATGATACGACCCTGTCGTCTCTGTTACCGAAGGTGTAACAGTCCAGGCCTAATATCGTCTGCGGCTAGTTTATTTTGCAACTGAGTTTATTTTACAGGTACCAGGGCATTTAAACACTAAGCACAGAATAGATAACTATATTATTTGTTACAGTTCCCTTCCCCATTTGTGCATGTCCATCCTGACAACAAAGAGCTATTTGGATAAGCCAGGCAGATATCTCAGCATGACAGTCTCTATCACAATCTCGTATTGGTCTCAGCTGGAGGGGAAAGGTTCTGCCTCTGCACTGTGACACATCAAAGTCCCTTTTGTCACAATTACAAACAGAAGTCTGCACATATATACATAGTTGTCAAATATAAACATATGTTTTTATGTCCAAAAGGTCAATTAAACTCATATTATGTGCCTTTTTATTTTTAGGGTGAATGGGGAGCAGAGGGCACCTTATAATTTTGTGCCTAGTCAGCTGACATGCAAATCCAGCCCTGATCACACAGCTCCCTACTGTGCTGCTGAAAGGAATATATAAAATATATATTTCAACATGTAACAAAACTACCAATTGTCTCTCTCAGCATTCTCTTGCGTATTATTTCAGCTATAAACAAAGTTGTTGTTTTTTTTACTATTTTTGTACAAAATAATGATTTTTTTTTTTTTACATTTTTGATTTTAAAATAAAGTAAAATTCCCATTATTAACCAGGGGAGACCAGTAATTGGCTTCATCCTCTACCTACCTCCAGTGAATTATATGGTAATATATTAATTAGGGTTATGGATTTCCGTACCATAATAATAAATTGACCCAGGAAGCCCAATCCCCGTGTACTATTAGCTTTCGGATAAGAATACTACTGGGTGTAGGTCCAAACAAACACTCCACAAGTATATTTAAATTATAATTTTTTTTTATAAATATATACAAAAATAATACCAGGTCACAAATCCAAGATCATAAAAATATCAAACATAAGTCATATCAAGCTAAGCATCCACATATGTAGGTATATATATATATATATATAGTGACCATTATTTATCAATTATTTAAAAAAAATAAAAATAGGAAAAATACTCCCCCAACATTTCGGCAAGATTGCTTTCATCAAGGTAGGTGACATTAAAGGAATTATTGTTTTTTGTTCCTTTATTGTAACAGGGCATCAGAGTGGAATGAGGTTGATAAGAAAGTATTAGATGCTCTCCACGTAACAAAAAACGAAGGAGAATTCTGGTGAGTACATTTTTAATTTCCACATATAAATCAACCACAGGCATCACCTGTTTCTCTTAACACTGGAGTTCCACACATTTTCTAACTTGTCTCTACAATGTTGCTCTTATATACAAGTACTGGACTGAATGGCTGAGCTCAATATCAGGTCCATATGGCTGGATTCTCTTTGTAGAGTAGGGGTTTATTGAATAGCAATTTTCCAGTTGACTTTAGTGAATGAATTGCTATTCTAGTAAGTAGACTAAACTTTTACTCTGCTGTGAGAATCCAACCCAAAGTATTTACGTTCTATCGTCAAAGCTTAATTTTTAACACAGGACTGAATAAATATTTAGAACATACTGGAAAATTACATAATATTACATAGTAAAAAATTACTAAATAGACACAAGTAAAAAAACATAAAATTTCACCAAACCTGAAATATCACAGCAAACCTAATTTAGAAATTTTCTTTAGTCTTTTTTTTTTTTTTTTTAAGTTTATTCCAGATTTAGGCGAAAACAGCTCATAAACAAACATTTCCTAACTCATTAATCTTGGTAATTTGTTTACTTAAATTATTGAACATTTACAGGATGCCCTTCTTTGACTTTAAACAAAATTTCTCCGGAGTAGTCATATGCCACACTAGTTTGAGTGATGCTCTTCAAAAAGAGAGTGATTTGTGGAACGTCACAAAATTTTATGGGAGCTGGACTAAAAACGTGACTGCAGGTGGCCCTCCAGACAAAGGTGATTATAATATGCTCACATAGCTTGATAAAGGTAAGGTATGCAAGAAAATGAAAATGGTGCTGGTTTGTGGCAATCCATGCTGAACATTCTGGCGTTTTGTTGTATGTTTTTAATGGAAAAAGAGGTCAATAAGGACAGGCTAAAGGAGCTTCAATAGTCCATAGCTTCATTTCCTTGACCTCTATGCACTAAGAAGAGATAAGCTTCAATTGACAGTCCATTGTATTAAGACCAAAGAACCCCAAACAATGTGTTTTTAATTATCTCCTTTAATATTAAAGAATAGGCATTGATCAGTCTCTAGCATGCAGAGCTCAACTTAAATATAACGAGTGAAAAACTATTTCTTTGTACCTGTCAAAGATTTGCATTGTTAGGGTCTCAAGCAACATGACATGAACTGAAAGCTAGACTGCAACTCACAGAGAGGGTGCAAAGCAATAGGATTGTAACCCAAAGGGCTTAGTGTTCAGTCCCTTAAATTAAACTTTACTAGCACGTCTTAGACCTGTGTTTGGTGCAAACCACATCCCTACCCTGTTAATTTAGATTGGGATTCACCTTCCATCACATGCTATCAGGAAACAGTTCAGTATCCTTGTATTAAATTGTCTTCAGTGTAAAAAGCAGAAACTTATGAACCACAACTGTGGTCTTTGTCAAGCTTTGTTAAGTTGTAGTCAAAACGTTACTGCTTTTCACACCGAAGACACTTTAATAAAAGGGCGCTGTGCTTAAAAGGACGTACTGATACATTCCTGTATCAGCTGTATGTGGAGCGGTTGGAGGCAGGACCGGGTTCCTGTGTTGGTCTCCTTTGTAATATATATTTTTTTTTTTAAAGAAAGACTCTAAACCTCACTGTTTGATTCTCTGTTGTATACTTTGCAACCAAACTTCCTTTTCTATACAGGTGCCTCACTTTTTGTGTTTTTATAACTTTGTTTTTTCAAAGTTATCATTTATTCAAGTCCTTAAAGCCAGAAAAACCCTCAAAAAAGTCCCATTATTACAAAGATAAAAATTGTGTAGGTTTGATCTAATTATTATACAAGGTGTTTCACCTTAATATTGGTAATCTAAGAGTCCAAGAATAGAAGTATACCAAATAGAGAAGATGGGTACAAATTAAATTGCCTTCTTTAAACTGTCATAAGGAATAGACATTTATTCCATCCATGCTGGGAAATCTGTGAAGAAGGATAAATGTATAGACTTGTACCTGGGGATTGGCTTTGTTGCCATGGTGACGTCTCCCCACGTGTTGTATGTATCAGTGCATCAGTCCTAAAGATCTTTTGAGTGTATACTGTTATTCTTTATAATCTTTAGTAATAGCAGCCACATAAAGCCGTAATCTGTTTTTCCGTATTACAAGTTATATAACCCAGTAATTTATGTATATGGTTCTCCTTTACAAACAGAGTCATTTTGGACCAACCCCAAATTTTTTATCAAATTGGAAAAGACCAAAGGAGATCAACCACTGTGTACGATCGTTGTGAGCCTGATGCAGAGGAAGAGGAATAAAAGAGTGGACAGGATTAAAATTCAATACAGTATTATCCCGGTCAGTTGCTCTATAAATTCTCAGAGATATAGTAATAAAAAAAATATTTATTAAAATAAATCAAATAAAAAAGTTTTTGGAATGTTCTAAAATATAACGAATTTACTAATCATTACTCTTTCAAATGTCACATTATTTGCAGACCCCTCTGCATCATTTTGGAATCCTCTGACATTCCTACACCATTCTAGAGTCATTTCAGACTCCGGATGTTGTGTCTCTTTCAGCATCCGTACATTGAAATAATGATGCAGGTTATGTCGTTGAGTCCTAATCGACGCTCACGTAGTTTCTAGGTACACAGTGCAATATTATCCAATACATTATAAAAGCCATTGTGACTAGTAGTAAGTGTCCTGTTGTGGCCTATGTAATATCCAATCATGCATTCCTTGCTTTTGGTATTTTGGCTCCGCTTGTCTTGATCTTCCTGCTCTCTTGTATTGTCTGGCGACAGAAAAGGATCAAATGTTGCATTGGAAGGAGAAAGGGTAGAATGAACTCAAATGCATTCACACTAACACATATATACCCCAGCATTCACACTCTAAACAGTACGTCCTTGTTTTTACACACATGCCTTCTATAAAAAATATATATATATATTTATTATAAATATTATTTATAAATAAATATTTTCAATGCATGGTGGGGCAACCATATACTCACTCACTTTTACCCTTAGCCAATAGACGGCTGAAGGTGCCCTGCCCGGAACACTATAATACTGCTGACACCTCTCCTGTCAATCATTTCCCTAGTTAAGTGATCCTTAATGACTCCAAACTCAATAACTGTTTGGTTCTGGTGCCATAGTGTCCTGATGCTATCTCAGAGTAAGAGGTCAAACCTTTTGCAAATGATTGGAAAACTTACCTGGGGTCTACTGGCACCAGACCATGCCTCCATGAAGTTTGGAAACTCCTGCACCAAGCTTCTGTTAGTTTCCCTGAGCTAAGCCCTGCGGTGCAGAGCATCAGCTGCGCATTCTCAGCAAGTGAGCTAAGCCTTGAACCACCAGGTAAGCATCAGGTTAGCTAAGAGCAGAGAGCTTACAGCTTTCATGGAGGATGGGCCATTTGCAAATGGCTTGGCTTCTCACACTAGGAGGGCATCAGGGCTCTCCTAGAGTGCTGCTTTAAGTATATACATAGGTAGGGAAAATATTGATAAGAGAGGTGTCAACAGTATTATTGTGTTGAAGGTCTGGTACTCCTTGCAGGTTATGATAAGGGATAGCAGTTCATTAATATTGAGGAGGGTAAAAAAAAAGTAGGGAGTATGTTAGCCAGTAGTAGTTATGGTGCTTTGATTGTTCATTTAAATATGTTTCAAAAGAAAAAAAAAACTGGTCACATGCAAAATGATATATAGCCACCCAGCCCAATGGTTCTGAATTCCATTACATTTATAATACAACTGCATTATTGTTCCAAGGCTAATGTGATCAGCTTACATAGTTACATAGTTACATAGCTGAAAAGAGACTTGTGTCCATCAAGTTCAGCCTACCTCACATTTGTTTTTCGCTGTTGATCCAAAAGAAGGCAAAAAAAAAAAAAACAGTTTGAAGCACTTCCAATTTTGCAACAAGCTAGGAAAAAAATTCCTTCTTGACCCCAGAATGGCAGTCAGATTTATCCTTGGATCAAGTAGTTATTACCCTACATTGAAAGATTATATCCTTGAATATTCTGCTTTTGCAAGTTTGCATCTAGTAGCTGTTTGAGCATCTGTATGGACTCTGATAAAACCACTTCTTCAGGCGGAGAATTCCACATCCTTATTGTTCTTACAGTAAAAAAAACCTTTCCTTTGCTTTAGACAAAATCTTCTTTCTTCCAGTCTAAATGCATGACCTCATGTAATATGTAAAGTCCGGTTTGTGAATAGATTTCCACACAATGGTTTGTATTGGCCCTGAATATATTTGTATAACGTTATCATATCCCCTTTCAGGTGACGTTTTTCTAAACTAAATAGGTTTAAATTTGTTAACCTTTCTTCATAGCTGATATGTTCCATTCCTTTTATTAATTTTGTAGCCCGCCTCTGCACTTTTTCTAGTGCCATAATATCCTTCTTTGGAACAGGTGACCAAAATTGCACAGCATATTCAATATGGGGTCTTACCAGTGATTTATAGAGGCAAAATTATATTCTCATCCCAAGAATGAATGCCCTTTTTCATGCATGACAATACCTTACTGGCCTTGGCCACTGCTGATTGACATTGCATATTGTTGCATAGTTTGTTGTCTATAACAATTCCCAAGTCCTTTTCGTGTGTTGTTATCCCTAATTCGCTTCCATTAAGGGTATACGTTGCTTGTGTATTCTTTACGCCAAAGTGCATAACTTTGCATTTTTCAACATTAAATTTCCTCTGCCATTTTAGTGCCTAGTCCCCCAGTCTATCTAAATCCCTCTGCAGCAAAGTAATATCTTGCTCACATTGTATTATTTTACAGAGTTTTATGTCATCTGCAAACACTGAAACATGACTTTCAATACTTTTTTCAAGATAATTTATAAACATGTTAAATAGAAGGGGTCTCAGAACAGAACCCTGAGGGACACCACTTGCCACCTCTGTCCAGCTTGAAAATGTACCATTAATGACAACTCTTTGTACTCTATTTTTAAGCCAATGTTCTACCCAAGAACAAGCATTTTCATCTAGACCGATTTCCTTGAGTTTGAACACTAATCTGTTGTGTGAAACTGTATCAAATGCCTTGGCAAAATCCAAATAGATCACATCCACTGCAACACCCTGATCTATACTTCTACTTCTTCATAGAACGCAATCAAGTTAGTTTGACATGACCCGTGCTTCATAAAACCATGCTGATTTTTGCTGATAACCATGTTCTTCTCAAGGAATTCTTGAATATTATCCCTTAATAACATTTCAAATATTTATTACACAATCAAATTGCTAATCTTCTATAATGTTAGAGTTTAAATCCTCCCCGTTACAGATGCTAAATAAATTGGTTGGAGTGATATACAATGCTATACCACAACCATTTAAACCACCCTGTGTTCCAGTATTGGAAAGAATGGAGAATGATAAAAATAAATCAGAACTAATGCTTTTGGACAAACCTGATATAGTTCCCATACGCTAGTCTAGTTTCCAGGCACTCACTTATATAAAATACATCCAGTGAAAAACTAAACCACTTTCCTACACTTTCTGGTTCTATTAAATGATTATTGATTTTCTAACATTACACCATTTTATTTTCAAAGGAAAACAATATTGTATTTAAATGTTAATATATGTTGGTATTTTCTGCAGATTTATATTAATATTTATTTTTACCTTCTTTCTTTTGCAGATCCCAAAAGAGGTATTGTATTCTACTTTTCAAAAAATGTTTTGCTGTGTCTCCTTCCATTCTATTCTACATTGAACGACCTCTATAAGGCCTGGATCTGATATGACCTCACTAAACGCAGTAATATATTTATGGCGGCCACCCCAAAAGGAAGAGGGGTTTCGCCACCAGAGGTGTTCTTTCCCCCTAGTAAGAGTGATACTGCAGTATCTCAAGTAGCGATAATCCAAGTCATGTTATAGTGGGTATAGCATTCCCCTACAAGCATGAGACGAGGCTCTATGTTGAGGGTAAATTGGAACTGCTTTAATTGGAGCCACACATTGCTTTTTATGTAAGTCCCCATGCCAGGGGTTTCCTGACACATATTCCAGGGGCATTCCTTGCTGGACCTGAGAGGAGACTGCTGTAAAGTACACCAATAATTTACATTAACTCTCAAGTCCAGGACATACACATTAATTATACCCCAAAACATACATTTAACAGTTAGGTACCCCCTCAAGTATTACATGCCCAGATAGCCTGGATCTAAGTGCCCAACATATCCCGAACGTTTGCAGATCCCATGAACACAGTCGAAATGCCACTGGAGTAAAGTTTAGACCGACCGCGCACTAGGTGTCTGCCTAAAAGAGTTCAATGAAATCAGGCTGAGTGGTCAGTATCTTCTTGTATAAATGTGCATCATAAAGGTGCGCATTAGATTCAGTCGGAAATTAGATTCAAGTAAATACGGTATTTTATATGAAATAAGTTACTAATACATTTCTTTTTTTTATTTATGTGTACATATCTTAATGTTATATTTATTTTTATTGTCGTGATGTTTTATAAAATATAAAAAAAAATGAGTGTGTCCATGAGCATAACACAAGAGTTTCCATGCTTTGGTTTTTTTTTTTTGTGTTTTTTTTTTTTTAAATGTATTTATAACCTGTAGAAAAGCAGTGTAAATTCTGAAACACAATGCCTGTTAAGATGGGTACTTTGAGATATTTGTGGAAACAGGATTTCTCAAGTTTCTGTGCCCAAAGAGGACTTCTAAAAGTCCAATTTGAGATATGAATCTTTTATATTTATATCTATATATACATGTACACAGATACAGCACATACACACTTATTGCAATGTTGTTGGTTTTTTTTAATATTATAGTTAGTTGCACTGGACTGCAAATAGTGCTTATGTTACACACATACATATACACATTAATCAGGCACATTCCATCAGCTACATCTGCTAAGTGTAGCAAAGTGATTTGGTTTCAAACTTTCATTTACAAACTATATTTTTTTTTACAGTATCAGAATCAGGACATCAATAAGATCAACTTGGACAAAGATTTCTTCAAAAAGTATAAGAACACAATGCTAAAACTTCCCACCAGATTTGCTGGTAAACGTGACGTTTCTTGGCGTTTTAAGTTGCCAGTCGGAGTGTATGTGATTGTTCCATATGGCGGCAGTACCAATGACGAGGGAGACTTATTCCTACGCGTGTTCACAGAGAAGACAGCTGGATCTCTGTAAGTGAATCCTCCAACTCACAATATAAAATATGAGGTATCAATCCATTACACTCCAGCAAGTTAATAAAATGTGTTAATGGTTTTGATCACAACAGGGAATTAGAACAACCAACATGTGGTTTTGATATTTTTTAGAAGAATATCAAGCTAATGAGCCCACCATGCATTATCCTGAATGAATGCCAGCTAATCCATATCCTCTATTGAAACACTTCTCTTTCCTTTCATTTAAATCATAATTAGGCTGATCCTAGGGACGCCTGGATGCATACATTTATTTGGCGGACCCCCAGGTGGGCTTGGTCATCTTACTAACTCCTCCCCTTTGCAAATGACCAGTCCAAACATGCATGTTTCTATGGCAACACCACCACCTCTCTATCTATAAGCCCCACTTCTTTTTAAATCAGACACACTTACTGACAGTGACACACTCCCACTGACACACACACACACACTCACTGAGAGACACATACACTCACTGATTTGACACATACTGACACACACACCCACTGACTGACACACGCACAATGACAGAAACACTATCTCACTGATTTGAAACATTCACTGACAGACACACTCACTGACAGAAAAACACACACACATGTACAAAATGACAGACAATCTCACTGATTTGAAATATTCACTGACAGACACTCACTGACAGAAACACACACACGTACAAAATGACAGACAATCTCACTGATTTGAAACAGACTCACTGACAGACAAACACTCACTGAGAGACACATACTGACACCCACACCCACTGACTGACACACGCTCAATGACACAAATACAATCTCCCTGATTTGAAACACTCACTGACAGACACACACACACTGACAGACACACACAGACATGTACAAAATGACAGACAATCTCACTGATTTGAAACAAACTCACTGACAGACACAATCACTGACAGACACACTCACTGACACAAACACTGATATACACTCTCAATGACAGACACACAATCTCACTGATTTGAAACACTCACTGACAGACACACCCAATGACATACAGACACACACACACTGACACACTCATTGACAGACACACACATACACACATACACTCACTGACAGACACCCTAACATACACTCTCAATTATTTGAAACACACTTACTGACAGACACACTTACTGACAGAGACACTGACAGACACACACTCACTGACAGACATAAACACATTGACACACACACATACACACACTGACAGAGCCACTCACACACTGACAGACACATTTACATATTCTTGCACACACACATTAATTTTATTTCTTGTTTTATGTTTTTTTTAGACCAATACATCCTCCTTACCTTTAGCAGAGCTGGTATAGGTCCTCTACCTGGGGTCCAGTGGGGATCTTCTCCCTAGACGTCACCCTGCAGACATTTGTTCCCCATCTTGCGCTGTCTGGTGACCTAGCCCCCCATACACATGCCCAGGATCAGCCCTGAATAGGCATTCATTTTATCTAATTTATATATATTTACCTATGTATTCAAGTGTGATGATAGCTCTCTATCTAATCAAACTACCTATCTTTTTTTCCTACGGCTGGTTATAGAGTTAATTATCTGTTCATTCATTGTATAACACACTGTATGTATTGAATCTGCTTCATTTTATGAAACTGGCTGTGGTTTCTGGAGTCCTCTGGTACTGTTCAACAGTTTTTAATGTTTTAATGCTAAACGAGAGTCACTAAGGCTGCTGCTTGGGCTAACAAGGAAGTAATAGCCTGAGCAGAATTGGACAGCTGAGAGTGCTGAGAGTGTCAGCTGACTGCGTTTACCCTGTCAGAGCTCCCATTGTCAGTATGAATAGGTACACATGGAAGTGTCTAATCTCTGTTTAACACTGAATGGAGCAACAGTGCCAGGGACTCCAGTCACTAGATCCGATTCACAGAGATGAAATGGTTAGAGGACTACAGTGTCCCTGGAAATTTCTTAACTTCCTATAGATCTGTCTGTCTTATATTACCCATGTCTTGTATTAATATTATTAATTATAGTGGTAAATGTGTCAATAACTTGCTGGCCAATCTTGGAAATGTTTTGTGAAATGTATTTTCCTGTTGGAAGAAGTTTCATTCAGTGATGGTTTGTGACAGATACATTGTGTGTTTACATGGCATTGCTTACACAATAAATAGCACTTTTTGATTCTAATGCATAACTGTTCTCTTCAAGTTATGTTTCTGTATGTCCAATAACTATAAATTCTAAATATAACTAAATGTTTTCTCTCTTTTTAGTGCCGATGTCTGTACTCTTGCAAACTGAAGTTGGACAAGGTAAAAAACATTTTTTTTCCTGAGCCTGAATAAAAGTAAAATGTTTGTAAGTGCATATAATTATGCACATATGAACCACATAATTTGTCTATTGTTATATTAAGTGACATGTATCCCTTTTAAACAACTGTCTCATTCAAAAGCTGAAGAAAACAGCTAAATATGTTTTGTTTTTCAAATATACCTGCTTCTTCTTTCTTATGCTTTCCACACCCACTCTGGGGGTGGGCAATGATCTAACCAATTAGTGTCCTATCCCTAGGAATACTGGAAAAGTGCCTTGGGCGTGCTTAACAGATTTACACATGTGCAGTTGAAACAACTCTTCACTTTACAACAGCATGACAGGGGAGAAAAGAGGGAGTCTGATCAGTGAGATCATACAGGGTTTCTCTCTCCTGTTGTGACCTGTTTCTGTCACTAGTGGACTGGTCTGGCCTGAATAAGTGGATGGTTAATGAGGGTTAGAATAAACTTCCCTAGCTAAGAGGGGTGCCCAATAATGCAAACCAACCTAGTTTATAGTTAGTTTATAAATGTCTATTACATACTTTTAAAAGTTTTTCTGACTTTATTTTGGTTTGTATATTTGTTTAAAGGTGTTTGCTTGCTGGTTTATGAAACAAATTGTCAACTGATGCACTTGTCTTTAAGGAGTTTATTTTATTTATTGAGTTTTATTTTATCAACTCACCACAAATCTATTTTAATGAAAACCCCTTGATTATCAACTTCTAAAATAACATTTCTCGTGTTGGTCGGGTCTCTGAAATATAATGGTGGGAGACTCAGTATAAATACGTTACATATTATACAAACCATAAAACTATAGGAGAAAATAGGATATACCCTAAACTCAAAATAAGACACCCCAAGGTAAATCTTTTTTTATCATAATATTTTACTAAAGGGATAATTCCAAGTGAATTCATGTTGAATGTCAAATTTATAAGTTTATAGTATATAAACTAGATGCAATCCATATATGGCAGATGCGCTTCATTTTACACCAATAGTTTGACATTTTGCAATGTATTTGGCTGTATGTGTGGAAAGCTTTTTTTAAAATTATTATATTTTGTACTACGGCTGGTTATAGAGTTAATTATCTGTTCATTCATTGTATAACATATTGTCTAAACGAGAGGTGTATAGCCATTGCCTTCCATCTCCCAGTACATTTATGGGCATATCCACACACATATATATACACACACACACACACACACACACTGACAAACATACACAATGCAATGTATTTGGCTGTATATGTGGAAATATATACATACACACACACACTGACATACGTATATACACTCACTGACACACATACATACTCAAACTCACATAAACAAACTGTGCACATATTCAATTAGACCTATGCACACACATATACAGAGACACAAAACTAACAAGTACACACTCACACAGAGAGTTGCACACAATGCAATGTAGACACATCTGGTAAGTAGTAAGAGGGAAATGAAGCATCCCCTAGTCTACTGTTACACAGCCAAGTGAGCAGAAAAACAGAAGCCAAATAGCCCTCCAGCCTCCTTTAATGTCCTCTACTCATGAAGGCAGGTAATTGCTGGGGTTAAATTAAAAGTTGGCTTTGACGTAACAAGGGTTAGCATTGCCTCGTCACCCTCGTTCTCCTCATGAATCTCTCCTCTAGCGTCACTGACAGCAAGACTGCGTGTGTCTTAATTAGAGAGGTGCCCTCTAGAGACATGAGCCCATAGGCAGTTGCCTACTCTGTCTTTTGCTATTTTGTTTTTCAAGACATTAAGATTTTATTTATTGTTTTTTCCACAGACCAATGATTCAGTTCAGAATTAACTGCTAGAAGCACTCTGGACACAACATTCTCTGACATATCTGCTTTACATAGACAATCAACATTATATTTCTCATTATAAAAATTATAAAGAGCATTACCTGGTATAGCCTCGACATGTAGACCATAATGTGTACATTTTCTTTATGACTATAATAAATGCCATGAGCTTTGCAAACTGATTAATCTGTGTAGTTTCTTTTCATTTTGTAAGACTGATTATTTTAACCCAGTTTCACTTATAGCTGTTAACAGCCTGAAAATGATACTGCATTAAAAGAGATCTTTAATATAATTATTTAACCATCATATCAATATGTAATACAAACCCATCTCATGGCTAAATAGGCAATCTGAATTTAAGATGTCAGCCCTACAAAATGTCTAATACCTACTCTACTTCAAGCCCTCCAGACAAAGATCCCATGCTACTCTTTAACACAAGCCCAAAGAGATCTTTCTGTCTCAGTAGGGTTAGGACAAAAAAACAAGTGGGGTACTGGGATTCCTACAGTGGAATTGGAGGTCTGGGAGTTTGAGATTTGTAGACTTTTTTTATCTAGCCATTATAATAGCAATATACAGTTGCAAGAAAAAGTATGTGAACCCTTTGGAATGATATTGATTTCTGCACAAGTTGGTCATAAAATGTGATCTGATCATCATCTTAGTCACAACAATAGACAATCACAGTCTGCTTAAACTAATAACACACAAAGAATGAGATGCTGCCATGTTTTTATTGAACACACCATGTAAACATTCACAGTGCAGGTGGAATAAGTATGTGAACCCTTGGATTTAATAACTGGTTGAACCTCCTTTGGCAGCAATAACTTCAACCAAATGTTTCCTGTAGTTGCAGATCAGATGTGCACAATGGTCAGGAGTAATTCTTGACCATTCCTCTTTACAGAACTGTTTCAGTTCAGCAATATTCTTGGGATGTCTGGTGTGAATCGCTTTCTTGAGGTCATGCCACAGCATCTCAATCAGGTTATGCCACAGCATCTCAATCAGGTTGAGGTCAGGACTCTGACTGGGCCACTTCAGAAGGCGTATTTTCTTCTGTTTAAGCCATTCTGTTGTTGATTTACTTCTATGCTTTGGGTCATTGTCCTGTTGCAACACCCATCTTGCGTTGAGCTTCAGCTGGTAGACAGATGGCCTTAAGTGCTCCTGCAAAATGTCTTGATAAACTTGGGAATTCATTTTTCCTTCGATGATAGAAATCCGTCCAGGTCCTGACGCAGCAAAGCAGCCCCAAACCGTAATGCCCCCACCACCATACTTCACAGTTGGGATGAAGTTTTGATGTTGGTGTGCTGTGCCTTTTTTTTGCCACACATAGTGTTGTGCATTTCTTACAAACAGCTCAACTTTGGTTTCATCTGTCCACAGAATATTTTGCCAGTACTGCTGTGGAACATCCAGGTGCTCTTGTGCAAACTGTAAACGTGCAGCAATGTTTTGTTTGGACAGCAGTGGCTTCCTCTGTGGTATCCTCCCATGAACTCTAGCCCTTCTTAATTCTAAATTATTACAAAAATATTTGTAGAGTGAGCAAAGGCTAATGTATTCATTCAAGTAGATATTTTTATAATGTATTATATAATAAATACTGCATGGTTATGTTTGTAACATTATATGAAAATGTTGAGTGCAGTATTGCCACACATTATGGTGCTGCTATGATATTCCTGAGATGAAAATTGCAGGTTGTTATTATAATACCACTTACAATGCTGTATATATATATAACAGAGCTAAATGCTCTGTTGTACACGGTACTTTAATGATGGGGTGCAACAATGTATCTCACACTGGAGCTTTAGGGGGAATTATGGCCATGGACTTAGGGACCGGTAGTGTTTACATTGCCAAATTGAAGTCCAAAATTTCATAGCATTTAGAATTGGAAGCACTTTGAAGGCAGATGTCCCTCTAATCCCAAGCACCCACAATTCTAAACCCAAAAACCTGTAAAACTATATTAATCCCTCCCCCAGCCTTACCGAAGCTTTTAGATTTCTCAGTCACCTTAATAACATTCTGCTCTTATGAACACAGCAAGACTACAATATCGTTCAATTGCACAGCATCCTTTAAACAAAACCCCACCTTTTAATGCCAGAATTTTTGTTTTGCACGTTACATTTCAAATTGTGAAATGAGTAGTATGTCACAGAATATACAAATTCTATTTTAATAATTTATTATATGCAGTCACATACTCTATCAGATATCAGATTAGATCAGATTTAACTTTATTATCACGGAACAGTGTACATACAAAGATAATGAAACATAGTTGGTCTCTGAACAGAAGTACAGTAGCGATTAATAAAATATAATCTTATCCACCAAACAAAGAGTATAAACTGCAACACACTGACCAATAACATGACGTGCAAGATGTGAGCACATATACCATGTGCTTAAAGTGCAAAATGTGAGCACATGTACCATGTGCCTAAAGTGCAAGATGTGAGCACATATACCATGTGCCTAAAGTGCAAAATGTGAGCACATATACCATGTGCCTAAAGTGCAAAATGTGAGCACATATACCATGTGCCTAAAGTGCAAAATGTGAGCACATATACCATGTGCCTAAAGTGCAAAATGTGAGCACATATACCATGTGCCTAAAGTGCAAAATGTGAGCACATGTACCATGTGCCTAAAGTGCAAGATGTGAGCACATATACCATGTGCCTAAAGTGCAAAATGTGAGCACATATACCATGTGCCTAAAGTGCAAAATGTGAGCACATATACCATGTGCCTAAAGTGCAAAATGTGAGCACATATACCATGTGCCTAAAGTGCAAAATGTGAGCACATATACCATGTGCCTAAAGTGCAAAATGTGAGCACATATACCATGTGCCTAAAGTGCAAGATGTGAGCACATATACCACAAGACCAAAGTGCAAAATGCAAGGACATAACTATTTGCATTGGTGCAAGATGTGAGCACATTGTCCATTGTGTAAGGTAATTGAATCACAGGCAGAGGGGAGGAATTTGTGTGGGAGTGTCTGAGTGTATTGTATGTGTTTATTGGTTGTGTTCCAAAACCCTGTGGGTGGTACTAATGTGTAAGAATTTGTACATAAGCACAATAAACCCACAGCTCTGTCTGTTCACTGCTTGACCCTCAACACGGAGCTTTGTCTCGTTCTTGGGGGGATTTATTGTATGCTGTTCCAGTTCGACTGCTAGGAGTGTAAAGCTATTCGTATGGTTTTTCCTATTCGGCTGTTTACGGCGGATTGGTGTTCTGCAGTAGCTGTGCCTGTGTCTCTGGAAGGGGACGATCACCTAAACGGTTTTAACCCCTTGTGTGCTGAAACGGTCCGTTACACCATGTACATAAAGTGCAAAGTATATATTGGTCATGATCATAAAGTGTAAGAAATATAAAGACATTCCATCATTGCGTTTGCACAATATATAAGGAAACCATTTACTTCCACATCTAAAATAATGCAAATAAATTCAAAGACATCACCACAGAGGGAACAAAAGGATTCCAAACCTACAGGTCCAATTATCCTTTCATTATGATTTAAAAAACCTATATTTAGCAAAACTTTGGCTATTGTACATGAGTATTTATTTACTTGTTCCACTGAGTTTGATCTGTATAAACTACAATTTCTTTGTTCTGTATGGTGTCTTTTTTTTTTTTGCTAGGTTTTCATTTTATCTGTGTCTTTTCAAATAAAAATATTTAAATACTCTTTTTTTTACTTATTTATTTTGTTTGTCTATTTGTTTTAACTATATGTCCTTTCAAATCGGCACATATGAACCCTCAGTGTCTCTTTCATTTCATGGACTCCTTTAATTGACATTTGGAACACACAGCTTTAAATCCAGCTTACCCAATTCACACCACTCAACTTCTATCCATTTCCCTGAATTTTAGACATGAAACATCTCAAGTCATATTAATTTTGACGTTGCAGATCCTTCCTTTCTATGATCGAAAATATCGGACTCTAATAAAATCTAGATAACCTTAACTTTAATTGTGTACAGTTACAAAAAAGGTATGTAATGTATGTTTGTTAAAATATTATATTTGATTTCACCTGGCAGTTATATAGTTACATAGACTGAAAAAAGACTTGTTTTCATCAAGTTCAGCCTTTCTCACAAAAGACGGCAGAATTCCCAGTTTGAAACTATTTCCAATTTTGCAACAAACTAGGAAAAAATTAATTCTCGACTCCAGATAAGCAGTCAGATCTCTCCTTAGATCAAGAAGCTGCTACACCACATATTAAATGTTATATCCCTGAATAGTATCCTTTTGCAAGAATTCATCCAGTCACTGTTTAAACACCTGTACATACTCTGATAAAACTACCACTTCAGGCAGAGAAGTTCACATTCTTATTGTTCTTACTGTACAGAACCCTTTCCATAATTAAAAGAAAAAATCATGTTTGCTATATATGAGGGGATATATACGTTTGTCCAGAAATGCTTCTTAAACTTTATGAGTAGATTTAGCATGGGTTCTGGATTCATCATAATAAACCACCAGACCAAATGTGAAGTCTCCAAAAGAGACTAGGGCCAACATTAGGGCTAGAATTAAGGTTAGAGTTCCATTAATCATAGAGGAGCACTGAGATATACATGTCCCGGTCCTCCTGAAATTTGTGGAAATTACCATCCCGAGCAGGGGCTGCTGATATTTAAGTCAGGACTTTTCCCGCTAATGACTTGCTGGTAGACAAGCTGGGGTAGAAACAATCAACCTGTGTCTGTAATTAAAGGCTTAGAGATTATGGTTGCAGTCTCCAGTAGCAGTTATTTTATTTATTTCAGTAAATAGTGTCAGTTACCACTGAGGAATGAATCTTTCACTAATCTCTGGTATTTTAGGATACAGTATTAGATTTAAAAAACATAGCTTTCCTTGGCATAAATTATTACATTTAGACTTTATTACTATGCACTATAAGAAAACCTCAACCTACTAATTAAAGACAATCTATGGAAGAGTCAAACACCGGGCAATCTATGGGAGAACAGATCAATTCTCTAGAAATACATTTAAAAAACACATTTAATTCGTTCAGCACAGCATAGATATGGTCAGCATGATTAAAAAAATATTTTGCGACACATTCATTTTTAATCACATTACTGTATTACTTTTAATGAGTAATGAAGAATGAGTACAATATTTAAAGAAATTGCAAAGAAAAATGTGATCAATCAACATAAAACACATAACAATATTAGCTAAGTATAGAGTGAGCATTGTCTGTGACAAGTGACAATCTGATCAGAGGCACATAAAGATACCTGTCATAAAGTGGGAATCGAAAAAGTAGGCAAGTGTTTTTAATAAAATTTTCAATATATATGAATTTAAAAAAACTACCTTCCTTTAAAGCATACAACTTGAGCAGAACGTCATCCTTTACCCACTAACTGCCAGGCCACTCAGAATGCTTTACAAAGTATATATCTGTCTGTTTGACTAGCCATCAATCCATCCATCCATCCATCCATCCAACCATCAATTGATCTATTTATTCAACCATTTATCCATCCAACCAACCAACCAACCACCCATCTGTCTATTTATTCAACCATCCATACAACCAACCAACCATCCATCCAACCAACCAACCAACCAACCATCTGTTCGTCCATTTATTCAACCATCTATCTATCCATTCATCTTTCCATCCAATCAACCATCCATCCATGTATCCATTAATTCAACCATCTATCCATCTATCCATCCATTTATTCAACCAACCATCTATCCCTGTATTCATCTTTCCAACCAACCAACCAACCAACCATCTATCCATCCATTTATACAACCATCCATTCAACCAAAGATTCATCAATTTAGTCATCTATCCATCCAACCATCTATCCATCCATTTATTCAACCAAATATACATTCATTTATTAATCCATCCATCTATCCAACCAACCAACCATCCATCCACACATTCACCCATCTATTTATCCAACCATCCATCCATTTATTCAACCATCCATCTGTCCAGCCATCTATCCACCCATCCTCTGTCCATCCAAACATACATCCATCCATAACACACATTTGAAGATTATTTAGCCTTTTATTATTGAGAAAATCAAATATTGAGGGCTTGGAGTATAAGATGAAAGCCACCAATATATCAAATGACAGAAGGAAATGTAGGACTGAACAAAAAAAGTAATGTTTAAATGCATGAAACTAGGTAAAGTTGCCTTAAAACTTGTTCAACTTTTTGATTGGTTACAACTTTACAAAATATTCCTTCCAACAGATTAATGCAAGAATTGGTCTAGGGATTTCAACCCTCAATTAAAGGCATACATAAACATAATTTAAAATAAAACAATTGATAACCCAGTTGTTAATTAATGGTCCAACGCAGTTATTGAAGTAATGATAATCAATTATACCACTAGTTGTAAATACTGTATCAAGTAATTGCTATTTTCCAAAGTGTAATGCAGTGTACTACCAGCAGAGGTCTCTGCTACCCTCTGTTCCAGTGGTTCCCAACCCAGTTCTCAAGTACCCTCTAATAGTCTAGGATTTAGGGATTACCCAGTTGTGTCTAGGATGTTTTTAGAAAGAAGAAGGAAAAAAAACAAAATAAAAACCTTGAGACCAAACAGGGCAACCCGTAAATCCTGGACTGTTAGGGGGTGCTTGACTGGTTTGGAATCCCTGCTCTATTAATTACATTCACAAAATTACTAAAATCAATTACAGATGACTCTAAAGTGCAATAATAGTGTACTAACAGCAGAGGTCTCTGCTACCCTGTATCAAAAACATACATAGAGTCACTGATTTCAGATACTAGCAAACTGCTGAGAATGGAGATGTAATAACCCTATTTACAACTAGTGATAGGAACTATCACTAATCATTATTTCACAAACTGCATTGGACCATTTATTAGCAAACAAGTTATCAATTTTTCATTTTAAATTATGGCCTATAGAGGCCTTTTTTTTATACCTACCTTAAATAAAAATTATGTATTATTCTGAAATATTGAAATATCTATTTCCATCAACATGGTGCGCTTATTTAACAAATAAATAACATGTATATTCACCTTGGGGGTATATCTATGAAAACTTTTTATATAATAACAGAGAGTCACACAGTCACAGTCACACACAATTACAGGCAGACAGTCACACACACACAGTCACAGGCAGATAGTCACACACAGTTACAGATAGCCTCACATAGTCACAGGCAAACAGTCCGCACACACACACAGTCACAGGCAGACAGTCACATAGTCACAGGCAGTCACACACACAGTCACAGGCTGACAGTCACGCACAGTCACTGGCAGATAGTCACCCATACACAGTTGCAGGCAGACACACACACACAGTTACGGACAGAAAATAATATACAAATTCACAGGCAGACAGTCACACACACACACATGGTTACAAGTACAAAACAAATAGGGAGGACCAAAATTTTGGTCCAAAAAAACCCAAAAACTAAAAGGAGCTGCAACACCAAAATAAATTACAAAGAAATTTATTCCACCTGCAGAAAGCAAGTGAACAATATTTTGCAATATCACTGCTCCTTTCTATGCCATTTAGGAGTTAAATCACTTTGTGTATGCAGCTCTAGTCACACCTCCCTGCATGTGACTTACACAACCTTCCTGTAAAGAGTCATCTATTGTTTACACTTCCTTTATTAGAAATTCTATTTTATTTAGAATGTCTTATCTTCTGCTCTGCTAATAGCTTGCTAGACCCTACAGAAGCTTCTCCTACTAACAAGACCATTCACATCACAAGTTCTAAAACCATACATCCACCAAGGAATCTGATACACACTGAGAACCATGCAAGGGAATTCACAAAACACTTCATTTGGAAATCTATTTAGTGTGGTGGTTGTTTATTATTTGGCACTAAATATATTTCAGAAGTCAATGACACACAGTTCTCTTGTCCATGAAGCAGGTTTCTTCTGCTTGGTGCAACCAGTGGATCCAGTCAAGGTGAGAATATTATTGTGTAATTATGATATACTTTTTAGTCCATATACCTAGAGCAGCAGAAATTACATTTACTAATGTTTTGTTTTCTTTGGATTTTGACCAGCACTTTTGGCAAAATGAACAGAATGAATGAGCCAAATAACATCTACCTTGACGACATTCCTCCAGAAATTCTTTGTCAAATAATGGGCCAACTTGATTTGCAAGATCTATGTGCTGTTAGAAAAACTCCTGAATGAAATAGTTGAAATTGACACTTTATGAAAAAAACACTGTATGGCAATTGCAAACGTTTGTCAATTGGAAATCGAGCAAGATCGAAGAGATGGATATAAGTGGAAGGTGAATATTGCCTGTATGCATTTATTAAATAGATAATTGGTTTGCATTGTTTTGATGATTAAAAAAAATCTCTTAGCATCTTCTATATGTTCCCACTGGGCTATAAATATGCTCCAATTGTTATTATCTTGACATGAATAGTTGTTAATCCTCAGCAAGAATGGAATAAAAATGTGTGCATGGAGTAAGGATCTTGAGCTAGTCTGAACTGACCATCAGGCAAACTCCTGGTGGTTGGTGATGATTATGGGATTCCAGAGAAAGTTTTGAGTGGCTATGATCTGCTTCGGCTCACAGGTTGTGTGTGAGAGGCAGGGATTTAATTGAACCATGGTGGCATTTAAGTGAACCTGTCATGACAGAAGTGTGCAGTTTTGTAACCATCTGGCTTGACTCATTTTATACAATTAAGTATTTCCTTAATACTCTTAAAATCTCATATTTTAATTTATTCCCATTACCTCTTTTACACTTGCTGTAAGTGACACCTCTACTGCATACCCCTTTTTGGGAAGCACAGACTTGCTTCCCATAACAGGTTAATGTCCCCAATACAGTATGTTGGCTTTGTGTAAATAAAATAAATCTGTTCTCTATCTCCATTCTCAGATTGCCTGTCCAAAGTTGCTGTAATAAATCATTCTAGCTGTTTCTCTCCTTTTTCCATGCTTCCTGCTGGTGTTCTCACACAGAGCCTGTAGGAGCCTTATAGGAAGTGGAAACAGCTGGGGAGAGCATTCTGCTCAGGTAGGGCGGGAGCTTCCCTGAAAAGTTTTTAAACACAAGGCTGGAAAAGATGAAGTGTGCGTCTGGATTCCAGCGACAGCCAGTTTAGTTCTTTTAGCATGTCACAATGGTGGGTCATGTAATTACATTGTAGCACAAATCGGCAGAATGAGTTATACAATGTATTAAGTTTATTAAGGTGGGTTTGCAGTGCAGGTGCATATACTACATCCCCATAATCAATGATTGGCATCAGCATTTGCTGTAGTGTACAATCTTTTCCTTTACAGTAGGGCTTAGGCAGGATTTGATTCTGTACAGGGCACCTAGTTTTGGATAAAGTTTAGATGCAAGTTTTATGTGGAGGCCAAAAGATAGATTGGGCTATTTAAAAGAGTGGACTGCAGTCAGTGTTCAATTTGATTTTGTTTTGATGCATAGATGGAAATTGTGTAATTTGTGTAATTTAGGTACTGTTCCAAAGATCATTGTGACAGTTTTGTCAGTGTTTAGGAAGAGTTTGTTTTTTGCAATTCACTTTTCTACCTCTGTGAACTGGTGTTGGAGCACAGCCTCAAGCTGCGGTATATCGGATTTGCTTGCACAAATTACTGTGTCGTCTGCGTACATGTGAACAGTTGAGGATTTGCAGACATTAGGCAGATCATTTCTAAATAATGTAAATAGTAGGGGGCCGGGAATGGAACCTTGGGGAACACCACACGTGACTGGGAGAGGGAGGGAGTCGCTGTCAGAAATGGACACATATTGCGATCGATCCGATACATACGAACGAAACCAGGTTAGCGCATGATCACCAATAATAATAGTATTATTAATTGATTACAAAGCATTTTTTAAAAATAAATGTTAGATTATATTAGATTATATTAATGCATTTAAAAAAAAATTACAAAGTTTCCTTTAATGTACTGTTTAGTTGGTTAACTGCAAATGCAGGTACACCCCCTTCCACATCAGAAGTTTGCTATCTTCCCATAAAAGCCTGCACTGTAGGAATTTATGGGACACAAGATCTATCCGCACATCACCTGAGTAGTATAGTTGCTATGTAGATTGATGGCAACTGCTGTCAGTTTTCCTATAACATGGCCAGGTGCTGCCTTCACAACATACAACTAGAACCTATATTTAGCTACACAGTACCAAAGGTTGAAAGAAGGCTAGTGAGCGTCAAATTCAACCATTCACCCGTCTCTGTTGTTTATTCAAAAGAAGTCAAAAATCAATTTGAAGTGATTTTCATCTTGCATCTCAGAGTTCTTCTAATGTGCTCTTGAATTGGGTAGGGGTCCTCAGTTAATTATAAGCCAAGTATTTACTGTCTCATATATAGATAAAGAAGGAGTTATTGCAGTACCAAAAAAAAAAAAAATGCAAACTGAATAACTCTGAGCTTCTGATCTTGCTCAACACAGGATTAAATCCAAATACATAAGAAAAAAATCAAGAAAGAGCAACTAGATGCTAAATGCTACATACGATTAATTGAAGGACCATTTGAAGAACCTTCTATGTGTGTGTTTAATGAAGGACATTTTTTGTAATTGATATAGTGGAAACCCAAAACGTTTTTGTTTGTTCCTTCAATAAATTCTAAGTGCATGTTTAGCATTAAGCTTACTTGATTTTTTTTCCTTATACATATCGATTGTCTCAAGCTGCACTAATAGGGAAAATTTCTCTGGTGTTCCCAGAAGCAGGACAGGAACCTGAGACTGTACGTAAATTTTATTTGGATTTTTCATTTCATTCATCTCCATTTGTTTTGTCCACAGGAAATTTTACAGAGAAATTACCCAGAAAGTAAAATTAAGAAAGTAAAGCAAGAATGGCTGGATGGGAAATACAGCAACATACCTTCATTTTCAGATCTTCCAAATAAAAGCATGTGGACAATGAATAAAGAGGACTGGGAAGATATATTAGAAGCCGAACTTAGAAAGCCATGAAAGAAATTGTCCTTGGACTGTCAATTGTTCAAATTATTGCTTGTATTTATATTTTTGCATGAATAATGTTAAATTTGATAATATGTATTGACAAAGAAAACACACAATGAACATCCATAGCACAGTCGAGGATTAAATCATAACATTAAAACATGCATAATGTATATACAGAAACGGCTTTACCCCACATATTGTCTTAGTATATTCCTTCCTACTATATTCACAGTTGTAGTCCTTGCATAGTGTATATGAAGCAAGAACATGCCCCTTGATATCCCTTATCCTTTTTTTTTTTTCACTTAGAACCTCTGCCTCAGTAACAGCCATCTCTCCTATATGGATTCATGCAAATCCTCTCTGCCTTCCAATCTATGGGACACATCTTCATATAGTTGTGCTTTGTGCTTTTCTGGGTTTCCTCCTCTAAAAACTAGGTGTGTCTTATGGTCTTATGTAGCAAAAAATACGGTATATTGTGTATTAATATTGTTTTTGTATTTTATTGTACCATATTGTATCAATGCAATGTTTTGTGGACCCCGGACATACTTAAAAATTAGAGAAATCTCAAAGTATCCTTTCTGGTAAAATATTTTCTAAATAAACTACTGTATAGTATTTCAATACAATTTGTAACATTTTGCGACGTATTAAACATTTGAGAAAACAAAAGCATACATTTCAAGGAGAATAGAATGTAAGGAGAGGGCCAGGTGTATGGACCTGCTCAAAGAAACAGGTAAATGGGGCTGCCCTAAGACACTGATTACCAGCGGGCTAATTATTTGACGAAAGCCAATATAAGCCCCCATTTAAGATTTTTGGATAAGCATTTCAAATGATTTTATAGTTTTGGATAAACTTTTAAAATGATTTCTTCAGAATAATACAAAAAGCAATAAGTGCAAGGAGGGGAAAAAAGACAAAATATTAATAATACAAAAAAATTTGAGAAAATAATTGCTTTTATTAAGGTCAATATAAGGAAATGTATTGTCTCTATAATCTATAGAATCTACACATTTGGCAAGCATAATGACAGATGGTATATATCAATAACCCTCAAACAATGCAAAAATTGCCCCACCTCAATTGCAAAACCATTGATGAGTTTCTGGTGGATTATGGGACCTGAAGATTAACATGTTTCTGAGGTCTAAGGTATTGACTTATGTCCTTTGAGACACTTTCCTGCTCTTGTATCATGAGATATGTTGTTACTAAGCAGTGACAGTAAGTCTAAGCCTTTCCCTTTGTGCTCATTAATTCAACAGATAATAATAGTTGCCAACAATTGGAAAGATATTCCAGGGACACACTCCAGCAAGTGTGCAAGTATGCAAGTTACGAGAATATAAACCAGTCCCATCAATGTTTTTCACAGCTTAGCAAACGCTCTACCACAAAACAGCCATGTACAGTTCATCTCCACCCAACTTTATTACTGTTACCAGTACATCTTCCCACAGTCACACCCCTCTCAACTAACACATTCTTCACCCAGACACATTCTTCACTCATTCCCCTCATTCACATCATCCATCCCTATAATTTGCTAGCCACCTATAATAATATTACCCATATCCACAGAGTATAATATTGTCCCAAGTCATCAATCCCAGTTATTTCCACCATTTCCAGGCAGCCTGGTGGTTCCTTTAAATCCCTCAGCTACACGAATGTAAGAAAAATCCTCAAAAAACATAAATATTACACTTATCAAATAATAATTACTGAGACTGGAAAAAAAAACTGCCAGCTTGTCAGGACATGTGTCAGTTATACCCATTTATTTTTATATGATACATAATACTCATTTTGATTTCTGTGCAAACCTTACTGAACTTAAACAAACAGATTCCTCTGATCATCTACATTCTGAATTTAGAATTTTTCTTTCTCACCAAGTAAAGCTGATGTAACATTCATGTTTTCACTATTAGTATTCATGGTACACAGTTAGAACATCTCATGACTTTGTAATTCTGTTGACAGAAGCAGAATATGAGCAAATATACATTTAAATTATGTTTTGGCAAACACTTTATTTCAAGGTGCACATAAAATAGCTGTTAATAAAGTATTTATTTTGTGGAAACGTAGGTAGAGCAGAATTAACCATATGGAAACCTTAAGCTACCACCTCTGGCCCAGGGGTTAGACAGACGCCTCGGAAACATGAACTTGCTGACCCCTACTGGGCCTGAAATGAAATTAAAGTCGCAACTCCTTGGACAATGTTATTTTGTATAATTCTGTGGGAATTTTATCCTCTTACCTTAGTGAGGTCTCTGCTTAAAGTTCTTCCTCTAGCATTCTTCTCTCTCTTGAATTTCTCCCTCCCTACCATTTGTTTCTTTTTTTCTCTGTCTTTACTTCCATGGGGTGGCTTTGAGTTTTGTGTCTGCCTACCATTTCTGGGGCTTTTTAGGAACTGGCGCCTGGGCTTGTTTAGTAAAACTCACCTAGTAAGTCCCAGGCTTTTACTTTAGCCTCTCTTCTTGGAGCCTCTTGTTTGTTTTTGGCCTGACGGTTCCTTGGCCCTACTGGGCAGCAATGTCTTCTTAGCCCTTTAGTGTGAAATGGCAAGGTAACTTTGTGGGAAAGGTAGCAGAGATGGTGGATGGGATTGATGGCGGCGAGGTGGCTGTACTTGATCACCTCTTGGGTACTGGCCTGATTAGGGTGCTTGCCTGCATTTCCTTTTTGGAGGTGGCCATGTTATTTATTAAGGTCGTGTAAATGGCTTTGTTGTCTGAATGTTGATGTTAAGAAAATGTGGTTCCAGCCTCTTGTCATTTGTTTTATTTATTTGATGTGGAGAATGTTAGGGACAGTGGTTGTGGGGATGGTGGTTGGGAGATGTTCTTCGTGGGATGCAGGGATGTAGACAGGGCCGGATTAACATAGGGGCTGATGGAGCTGCAGCTCCAGGCCCAGGCCCATGGAATAGGCCCATTGATTTAAAAAAAAAAAAAAAAAAAAGTTTTTGTTTGTTAAAAAAAATAAATAAAATTTCACACACTACTCTTAGAGATTCCACCTGGCTTTTATTTTATTGGCACAGCCAGTATTTGAGGCTGCCTGGCTGGTGCCAATATTGCAGTGATACTGGCAATACAAATGCTGGTATTTTTCTCAGTATAAACAAGAGATTACTACGCAATACCAGCACTGGCCAGTAGGGGTCGCTGTATGTGGAGACAGGCAGGGATAGGAAGTTCCAGCATATCCCTCCCTGCCTATCTATACTCACTGATCTGCAGGGGTACAGCTACAGAGAGTCCAGACAGCAACTCCCACCCTGCAGAGACAGCCTACAGCTCAGGGACGTAAGGGATGAGGGGAAAGGCTGCAAGGAGACATACACTGAGACACTAAGGGACATTGGGAGACATTATGCACAGACACATGGGGACACAGTGTCCCCATGTCTCCCAGCCAGTGTCTCTGGTGTCTCAGTGCCCCCTAGTCTCCCAGTGCCCCCAGTCTGCCAGTGTCTCACTGTCCCCATGTCTCCTAGTGCCTCCATGTCTCCCAGTGCCTCAAGTGTCACAATGTCCCCATGTCTCCAAGCTAGTGTCCCTAGTGTCTGTGGCCCTGGTATCTGTGTCCCCATGTCTCCCAGTGCCCCCATGTCTCAATGTCCCCATGTCCCTCAACCAGTGTCTCTAGTGTCCTGCTGAATCTTCAGAGCAGAGGTATTATCTCTGGAAGATCAACTCAAGAATACCTGCATTACTGTTTCCTTTAAACTCTTATTTTCAAACGGTGTTCTATTCCATCTCCCTCCCTATACTATCACTACTCAATTGATAACTATATCTCCCATCCTGATCTTCTGTTTTTGTTTTTCTTAAGGCTGGTATGATCATGTCAATTTATGTTCATTCTCTTAGACTCTTTGTTAATTGTTTGTTTGTTTAGCTAGTGTTACTACTCTCACTGATAATATAGTAAATTTATGTTCATGGTTTATGACTTTCACCTATCTGATCCTTCCTATCTTTTTATCCCAAATGTTCTCTCCTTTTAGTTTTTCATCTCTAATTAATTACCTCAATAGCCCCATGTCTCCCCACCCATAACAGTGTGTTTTATTTCATTTTTTTTCTAACCTCAGACCTTATATTTCAGACTGGGCCCCTTAAAACAGCATTAACACCCAGCACTCCCAAGCAACCAAGTCCTGCTGAATCTTCAGAGCAGAGGTATTATCTCTGGAAGATTGCCCACCCTCCCCTCCCCACACCATCCCACCCCATGGTCATCAACTTATTTATAGATAGTGCACATCAGCAGGTTTCCATAACACACCAATCAAGTCATTAAACCACTCCTCACCTGAATTCATTTAACACACTGCATCCTTACAATGGTTTAAACACTCATTGATATTTGTGTGTGTGTATATATGATCTACATATCTATATAATACACATTTTCTCTAATGTTCTCCCTTCTATTTTTCACTTTAACACTAACTTCTGTCATTACTAAAATATCCCTATCCTTTCACTCACCTGTCCCTGGCAACACCATCGTCATTACTCCCACCTTACTTCCCTCCCCTCTCTATTCATCCCATGCACTCTACACATACCTTTCCAGCCTATCTCCACCAACTCTTTCCAAATCCTCTACATACATACCCTCCTACAAACCTTTCAAATCCTACTCCCACCTTCACTTCCTTTCTATCCTTCTGCTCCTAGCAGCTGGTGATGTCTCTCCAAACCCCGGTCCCCTCTCAACAAACTCAGCACATACTAACCCAAGGATCCACACTAATCTCATACCCATCTCTTGTTCCTCTAAATCCTCCTTCAAAACTGCCCTCTGGAACGCACGCTCTGTTTGCAATATAACTAAATCCACTGCTGTCCATGACTACTTCATCTCTCATTCAATAGATTTACTAGCCTTAACAGAAACCTGGCTCTCCCCCTCTGACACTGCCACCCCTGCATCTTTGTCCTTCGGTGGTCTCCAACTTACCCACACCCCAAGAAACTCTGAATGTAAAGGTGGTGGTGTTGGGTTTCTCCTCTCCCCTCACTGCTCTTTTAAACCTCTTCCCACCCCCCCTTCCCTCTCTTTCCCGTCATTTGAAATACACTCAATTCGCCTTTTCAAACCCTTCGCTGCTAACATTGCTGTTATTTACCGTCCCCCTGGTTCCCCTCTTCTCTTCCTTGACCATTTTGCTGCCTGGCTACCCTATTTCCTCTCTTCTAACAGACTTCTAATTCTCGGGGACTTCAATATTCCTATAAACCCACCTTTGACCTCTGCAGCCAATAAACTACTTTCAATTACATCCTCCCTCGGGCTATCACAGTGGGCAAATTTTCCCACCCATGTAGCTGGCAATACCCTTGACCTAATCTTCACTTATGCATGTACGGTATGTAATATCTGCAACACTCCTTATCCTCTCTCTGATCACCACCTCTTATCGTTTGCTCTCACGTACCCCCTTACCCAACAACCTCCTCCTAACCAGCCTCAACTCAGGAGGGACCTTAATTCTCTTGATCTCCAACAGTTGTCAGCTGACATTGATTCACAACTGCT